GGAGGCCTGGTCCTGTGGTTTTCAAAAGAAGGGAAAAAGTCACAGGAAATCTATTTGGTGAAATAATAGTTGAAAAATTTCCCAAATCCTTGGAAATTCTTTCCTTGTACGAATTTCAAGTTTGTTTTATTTTGACTTTTCCAGTCTTGAGTTACACAAATATATTTATTTATCTTTATTTTATGTGTGTGAATATTTTGCTTACACGGATATAAGTGCATCACATGCATGCAATGCCCCACAGAGGACAGAAGAAAGAGTTGGATCCCCTGGAACTGTAATTACTGGTGGTTGTTAACTGCTATGTGGGTGCTGGAATTCAAACCCAGGTCTTCTGCAAGAGCAATCAGTGCTCTTAACCGCTGAGCCATCTCTCCAGCCATCTCCAAATTCTTTTCTTTTCCTTTTTTTTCTTTTCTTTGTGGTATTTTGTCTAGACTGGCCTCAGACTCGCTTTGTAGCTGAGAATGACCTTGAACTGCTAATCCTCCTGCCTCCATTACCCAAGTGCTGGATGAAGGCATTGTACCAACATGCCTGGCTTTAAATCTTTTTTAATTTTGGCAGAATTCAGAGAGGTTTTTTCCTCTATGGTTTCTGCCTCTCACATACTATCACGTTATCTCTACCCTTAAACAGTCATCTCTTTTAAATATCTTCTTATTTAACATTTATATTTTAATCCATGTACAGTTTAGTTTAGCTTAAAATGTAAAAAGAACATGAAATTAGTGTTTTACAAATAACTATAAATATTCTACTTCTGCTTGTCAAAGTCTGACTTGGATGACTGATATGCTAAACATAGCCACACATTTGGAGTTTTTCTGGAAATAGTCTGACCTCTATTTTCCTCTGGGCTCTCTTAGGCAGTGAAATCTACAGTGATTCACTGATCCTCAGAAAAGAGAGGAATAAAGGATGACAAAATTTACCAAAGGCTGCGGAAAAAAAAATACCTCGAAAAAAATTCTTCTAGAAAAATAAATTGAACAATCAATTACAGAGGAAGAGAAGTAATAAAGTAACAATTTAAAAACGAATAATAATTATATTCCGAGACCCAAGGAACAATACAAAAGCAATAATGTTTGTCATTTGTTTTTAATTTTGGCTTCTATTCTTTTGACTTCTCTGTTTTCTTGGTCCTTTTAATTAATAATAATTTTTAAAATTTTATTTTATGTGTATGAGTGTACTGCCTGCATGTGTGTAAGTGTACCCATGTTATGCAATGCCCGCAGAGGTCAGAAGAGGGAGTTGGATCCCCTGGAACTAGAGTTATGGATGGTTGTTAGCTGCCATATGGGTGCTGGGAACTGGACCCAGGTCCTCTACAAGGGCAGCCAGTGCTCTTACCTGCTGAACCATCTCTCCAGCCCCTCTTTATTTTTATTTTACATGTATGAGTGTTCTAGGGGCATGTATGTAAATGCACCACATGGGTGCAATGCCTATGGAGGCCAGAAGAGGGCATCCGATCCCCTAGAACTAGAGTTATAGACGGTTATTAGTTTCCGTGGGTGCTGGGAATCAAACCTGGGTCCTCGGCTAGTGTTCTTAGCTGCTGAGCGCCCCTTTATTTTTACTTGTATTAAATTTATTTGTGTGTGCGGGGGTGCCCCTGAGCATGCATGTCACAGTGTATATGTGGAGGCAAGAGGACAATTTGCTGGAGTCAGTTCTCTCCTCCCACCATGTGGGTACTGGAAATTGAACTTGGGCTGTCAAACTTGGCAGCATGTACCCTTACCCACTGAGAGCTCTCACCAGTCCAAAAAAGGAACAGTGAAAAAGAACAAATTAGAGATTTGATTATGAGAAGGAAAGTTGTTGAAATAAGGGATTTACTTAATGCAATGATGAACAAGAAGATGAACTGGTCAAGGGAGGGTTTTCGGGAGAGTTCCAAGGCATTAGGAAGCATAAAGTGAAGAAGAGTGACAGGAACTTAAGGGGTGTGAGGCTAGAAACAGAAGTCAACATCTCCTCAAGGAAGCCCCACTAGAAGCAAAAATGAGTAATGGATGAGAGGGAATACTTCAAAATAGTACTGAGAATTCCTCAAAAATTAAAGCAACGTACAAGACACTAGATTAGATGGAGTCAAGAGTTCCAAACAGAATGGCCAGTTAGACTCTATACATTATAATATCATGTCCAAAGAAAAATTATAAAATGCTCCAGAGAGAGAAAATAGATCATATTGGTACTGGACTTTTCAATAGGAACATGGAAGGCAAGAAGATTACGTAATAAGATGTTTAAAAATTCAAAGATGGGGGCTAGAGAGATGGCTCAATAGTTAAGAGCACTGGCTGCTCTTGCAGAGGACCCAGGTTCAATTCCCAGCACCACATAGTAGTGAACAACCATCTGTAACTCCAGCTCCCTCTTCTGACCTCCATGGGTACTACACACATGGGTGCACTTACATACATGCAGTCAAAACACTCCTACACACAAAATATAAAGAAAATACAACAAAAATTCAAAGAAAAGTAACTTTTAGATGTTAAGATGTTTGCACAAGTTTGAAAAAAGAGATGAAGAGGATTAAGACAATTTTGATCCAGGTGTGGTGACCCACACCTTTAATCCCAGCACTCTGGAGGGAGGGGCAGGTGCATTTCTGTGAGATCAAGCCCAGCCTGGTCTATATAGTGAGTTCCAGGCCAGCTGGGACTGTAGGAAGAGCCTGTCTCAAAACAACAACAACAACAACAACAACAACAACAACAACAACAGAAAGACAATTTTGAGGCTAAAGATATCAAGATAAAATAGTTAAAAGCTAATATATATTATATAATATATATATTTATTTAAAAGCTATAGCTGGGGCTGTGGAACAATAGTTCAGTGGGTAAAGTGCTTGCCACAAAAGCACGAGGACCTGAGTTCAGATCCCCAGCACCCACATAAACAGCCAGGTGCAGAGATATATAACTGTAATCCCAGCACTGGGAAGGCAGAGAGGGACAGATCCCTGGAGCTCACTAGCCAGCCAGTTTAGCTGAGTCAGTGAGCTCTGGGTTCAATGAGACTGTCTTAAAAACTAAGGTGGAGAATGACAGAGGAAGACACCTGATTTCAACCTCTGGCCTACACACACACACACACACACACACACACACACACACACACACAATGATATAGTTAAGTGCTATCTCAGCATCAAAATTGATAAATGTGAATTTCTGTTCATTCTATTATTTTTTAAATATTTCATTCATTATTTTTATTTTATGTGTATGAGTGTATGGCCTGCATGTAGGTACCTGTATCATGCAATGCCCGTGTCATGCATGCACCTGTGTCATGCAATACCCGTGGAGGACAGAAGAGGCTGTCAGATCCCCTGGAACTGGCATTATGGACAGTTGTTAGCTGCCACGTGGGTGCTAGGATTCAAACCCAGGTCTTCTGCAAGAACAACCAGTGTTCTTAACCACTGAGCTATCTCTCCAGCCCCCAAGTCTATTATTTTTCCATTACTAATATTCTTTGAGTCTCAATACGGGTAGGAGTAATAATTGTTCCCTTAATATACTATAAGTGTGAATTTGTCCCAGTCCTTTGCAGCTGTAATGAGACTAGAAGACAGAAATTGGCTAGACCATTTAGAGGCAGGAACCTTGAAATCAAGAGTTCTAGGGGTTTCCTTGCTTCTCTGGTTAGGAATGCCAGGAGGGAGCCCTTGTTTCTTACCCCTTCCTTGCCTGGGTTTTACACATGTGGATAGCACTGCTTTTTAAAGAAAAGGAAAAGGGGGGGCTGGAGAAATGACTGTTCTTGCAGAGGACCCAGGTTTGATTCCCAGCACCCACATGGGGGCTACCAACCCTCCATAATTCCAGTTCCAGGAAATCTGACGCCCACTTCTGACCTCCATAGGCATTGTACAACATGGGTGCACCTACCTACATGCAAGCAATACACTCATATATATAAAATAAAAATAAATAAAAAGAAAAAAAGGTTCCAATTCACCCATATACAATTCAAAACCAACCGTGGTGATATAAACACATCATGGTTAGTAAGACTTATATGTTATTTTTATTATGAAAATTTCCAAGGTTTCCCAGAACTAGAGATAATCCTATGTCTAGCTCCTCTGTCCAATCTTAGCTATATTTAATATCATTTTCCACTTTTTAATATAACATTTTAAATTTAGTCTTTCAGCCTTTCAGCCTTTCGTAAATGTATATGATGTATTTTGGTTGTATCCATGTTCTCCTCCCTCCCTCCAGCTTCCCCTGGATCTCCCCAACACCGTCCCTCCCAACTTCATGTCCTCTTCTTTTTACGTTTTTATTTCTTAAATTTTTATTTACTTATTTTTATTTTTCATGTGAGTGTTTTGCCTACATATGTGCAAGTGCACTTGTGTTGCACAATCCCTGCAGTGGCCAGAAGAGGGCATCTGACGCCTGGAACTGGGTTGTTAGACACCATGTGGGAGCTGGGCGGGAACCTGGGTCCTCTACAAGAGCAGCCAGTGCTCTTAACTGCTGAACCATATCTCCAGCCCTTATTGTAACCTGACTCCAATTAGTGCTGCCCACATGCAGACGGACGGGCCCAATCACCAGAGCATGGACAACCTACCAATGGCCCATACCCCCAAAGGAAAATGACTCTCCCTCCCCCAGCTGCCATTAACTGCCAATAGCTCCTCAGGTTGGGGTGGGGCCTCATGGGCCCCTCCCCCATCCATAGCAGAATGTTGATTGGCTTGATCTCGGACCAGACCATAGCTGCTGTGCATGAGTACAAGGGCTCTGCCATGTCAGAACACAGCATTTCACAGCACTCCTTCCCAGTCTCTGGCCCTTACATCTTTGCACCCTGTGATGTTCCCCGAACCTTGGGGCAGGGTTTACTATAGTTGTCCTATTTAGGACTGAGTGCTCAACAGTCACTTATTCTCAGCTCTTTAACCAGTTATGAGTCTCTGCATTAACTACTGAAAAATGCAAAAAGAAGCTTCTCTAGCTGAATTTGAGAGCGGCATTAATCTGCGGGTAGATTAGAGGGCAGTTTGACAACGTGACCATTTAGGGTCCACAGGTGGTGCTGTGTGCAGATGGACAGGAAACACATAATCTCTAGTTGTCTAATTCAGGCACCAAAGCCAGCATTGTCTAAAATCCTACACACTAGCTAATACTTTTCCAGGTAGAAATGCTACAGGAAGTTTCACATGATTCCAAAGCAAATAAAATGGAAATTCTTCATCACAGAATTGTTTGTGATATGAAGATATGGAGACAAAGCAGTATACACACCCTCGGTTCTGTGTGGTCTATCATGGGGGTAGGTGTGCAATGGAGTACATCACAGCCGTGAAAAGCAGTGCCCTGGGTATCTGCATCTAGAAACAAGCAAGACACATACATGAGGAAAAAAAAAAAAAAAAAAGTCACATCCTAAGTTATTTGGTGTAAGTTGAAAATCACAGGAAAAAAATATTGCTTGTTTTGCAAGGATACATTCAAATTCAAGATTACAGATCAAAAGCATTAGAGTGGTGATCTTGGCAAAAGAATCAGGCAGCAATAAAGAATGAAGATTACAAGGAATAAACAAAGCAGGGTGTTGTATGCACGGATAGATGACAGCCACGTGGCATGAGCTGAGATACATGTGAAGAAACTTCTAGATTTGACTCTCCCACAAAAAAAGAGAGAAAAGAAAATGTGCTCTCTTCATTGTGGCCTTTCTCATGGTTGCAAGGCTGACATTTAGTTGGTGGGGAGGGGTCATGGTGGACACCCACATTCAGTGTCCAGTGTCCAGGCTGTACTGGATGGTAAATGTGCTGACCATCACTCTGGCCTGTTCTTGTTTAATAGATGTGACATCCTTTTCTGTTACTTAAAGTATTTCTCTTTCAACCCCAGTCAGTAATCTTGTTTATCCAACACAGTTTTCTCTGTTAAGAGGTGTCCAATAGGCGTGGTGATGCACACCTTTGATCCCAGCACTTGAGAGACAAAGGCAGGTGGTCTGTGAGTTCAAGGCCAGCTTGATTTACATAGCAAGTTCCAGGCCAGCTGGAGTTACAAGGAGACCCTGTCTCAAAAAAACCCTCAGCAACAACAAAATAAAAGCAAGTTTCCTCACTTGTTAAACCAACACAATACTGACCCCTGGTGGTCAGATCTTATTTGTGGTTGAATGATTGGTCCTCTGGGAAATGTCTTTAACTCCTAGGACTTCCTCAATTGGAGTCTGCAGATCACAGACTTTCTTAGTTTAAAATTTCATCACTTAAGTCATTTTCATCTCATTTTAAGAAATCTGGAATGGGAGGAGAGAAAGCCAAAGAGGTACGGCGCCATCTTGTTCCATTGTTTTGACATTCCGATCCAAGGATTGAATTTAGGCTCAAGTGGACATAGGTCTTGTGAGTAGTTCAGTCAGGAAACAAAGTTCGAGGCATTCTGGTGTCCAGGAGGAGGTCAAGAGAGAGACTAAGGGAGTTCTGAGAGGCACAGGTATGGGATTCTGGGAAGATGCCGGGCATTAGGTCTGACTCAGATGCAGATAAACTTCCCATGGATGGTCAATTTGGGGAGGTCAGGGCTGTGGATGTGTGGATCTTGGGGTGTTCTTGGGGGGTTGGGTGCTGTCTTCCACTGGCTTGCTTGCTGACTTTTCCTCTAAGGGTTGCAGTATTCAGTGGTTAGGGGAGGCAGGGGAAGGAGAATAGGTGTTCTTTCTGTGTCCAGAGATGTGGTTAAATGTGCCCAAGGATTCTGAGGCCTCAGCTATGCTGGAATATTCACAATGCTCCATCATCACCATTGTCTCCACTGTGTACTTATGTCCCTGAGGCAGGAGGATGCAGAGGAAATTTATAAAGTGAACCCTTTCTGTGTCTTTTTCTCTTGCCCTTGGCCTGGTAGCTGACCTCCTTCTCCCCCTCCTATCCTAGCCCTTCCTCCAGGCACTGCTTTTAAAAAATATTTTATTTATTACTTCTATTTTATGTGTATGAGTGTACTGCCTGCATGTGTGTAAGTGCACCCATGTCATGCAATGCATGAGAAGACCAAAAAACAGTATCGGATCCCCTGGAACTGGTTACAGATGATTGTTAGCTGCCGTGTGGGTGCTGGGATCTGAACCGGGGTCTTCTTCAAGCGCAGCCAGTGCTCTTAACCGCTGAGCCATGTCTCCAGCCCTGATGCACTAGCTGCTTTTTTCGCTGCCAAAGAAGAGCCCAGACCTTGCTCTTCCTCTGAAGTTTTCTAAGGAAAAGGCAGACTCTCCAAGAAATAGTCCCATCAAACTCAGCTGTGATTTTACTCAGTTGCCTTCTTCCTGGTTATCTTTGCTGGGACAGTTATCTTTTCTAGTTATCTTTCCTGTCCCCTGTAATGTACATTCTATTGATAAGTTGCCATGTGATGTCTGAGTTCATGAGAAGCAGGCTCTGGACGTTAGGCTTCGTGCCCTCCCCCATTTCAGACCCAAGCACGTCTGTCTCAAATTGTCCTCCAAGACCTCTTGTCTGAGGATAGGTTGCTTCCGTAACTCTGTGACAGGGAAGAAGGAGAGCAACTAAACAGCCCAACAGTAAAAACACTGTTCCTGGGAGCTGGAGAGACGGCTCAGTGGCTAACAGCACTGACTGCTCATGCAGAGGACCCAGGTTTGGTTCCCAGCACTCACATAGCAGCTACAACTGCCTGTAACTCCAGTTCCAGGAGAATCCGATGCCCACTTCTGACCTCCATGGGCACTGCACAACATGGGTGTGCTTACATACATGCAGGCAGTATACTCACACACATAAAATAAAAATAATAAAACATTTTTTTTTAGAAAAACACTGTGCCCTTGAAAAGAGCTAGAAGGCAAACCATTCCCAACAGAGGCTGTTTATCCCACACTATAAAAGGGTCTACAGTGGGAAAGAGAAACCTGGGAATTCATCTACGGGACGTTCTGGGAATCCCAGTTGACTGCCCCGACCTCCTCAGCTGGTTTCTGCTGGATATTGTGGGTGCCCAATGTGACAGTGCTCTATCTGTTGCCCTTTCTTATTTTACTTGAAACCTCATCTGAGTTCCTCTGCTTTGCCTGGGACTCTCTATTGGGAACTCCAGGGGGGGCTGCTTCAACAGGCTGCCTCAGTCAGTTTCTGCTGGTTGTTTTTAGATCCCAATTTGCCGGTGTTTCTGCCGAGCTCTGTATTTAATAAACTCATTCATTCAAAACCAAAAATATGGCTATCACATATCATTCTCTGGACTCAATAGAATGAATGCCCTCACCCCAAGCCAGCCCTCTTACCTGGTAGCATCTGCAGCACAGGATCACCCACAAAACTGACAGAGCCAAGACCTTGAGCAGGAGGAGTCCATACTGCACAGAGACCAGGAGCCCAGGGGAAGTCCAGTCAAAGGAAGAGGTAGAATTTCCATTCCTGGAGGCAGAGAGAAGGAGGAGGAGCCAGAGTTGGAATGTCACCTGCTCCTGCATGGCCCTAGCTCCTTGTAGCTGGAGCTTATGTGTCTAGGAACTCACCCCGTGCTCTGAAGAGACAATAGACAGAGAAATGGGAATAGCGTTCATGAGGTCTCTGGGTCTGGAAGGAAACCCAATCACAAGAAACCCTACTAAATGAATGAAAGGCTGGCTAAGGAATCTAAACTGTGTTGGGTGGTGGGAGCAAGACACCTCCTCACCAGGTCAGACAGAAGGCCATCATGCTGACCTAGAAGTAGGAGGCTGCTTCAGCCACAAGGAGGAGGCTGTCCCCAGCTCAGCAGGCCAGTGGAGGAGGACACAGAGTTACTTTGGGGGACCTAACCATTAAGGGGGTCTTGTGAGTTGTCATCATGTCCACTCTCAAGCAACTGGTCCCATCCTGTGTTGTCTCTGGACCTCATTTCTTGGGTTGTGAAATCTTGACTCATCCTGAAGATGTTCTGAATCCCGAGAGGCTCCGCCCACACGCAGGTGGGAGGAGCCTGCACTCTCACCCGAGCCACACCTGTCCCCACACATTTTGTGGTGGTTTTAACTAATATTTCTTTGGTTATGGGCAGTTTTGAACACCATTTGTATCTCTTTTGGATTTTCTCCTCTACACATTTCCTTTTTCTAAAATTGTATTTATTATTAGTGTACGTGTGCACAATGATGATGATGGTGGTAGTGGGGTGTGTGTGTGTGTGTGTGTGTGTGCCACAGCAGGTGTGTGCTGGTTAGGGGACAACTTTGAGGAGTCAGTTCTCTTTCCAGCTTTATGTGGGAATTGGGGATGGAACTCAGGTCTCCCGGCTTACACAGCAAGCATCATACCAAATGAGCCATCTCAACAACCTTACAAATTATTGTCTTTCATGTGTTTTTACCATTTTCCACTGGTATCCCCACCTTTTCCCTTTGTTTTAGCATTACTTCTTTGCATTCTATGGATTGCAATCCTATCTTGGGCTTTTTCAATTTTTTTCCCAGCTGTCCATCTGTTGGCAAATGTTTGTCATGCCAGTTTTTTTGTTGTTTTTGTTGTTGAATAGAATTTCCCCTTCTTGATGCAACTGGTTTCATTCCCCCCCCACACACACTTTAATTTCTGCTTTTAAAGTTTTATGTAAAAAAACGGTCCTTCCTCCTCACCCAGATATTCCTTTTGTTTTGTTTTGGGTTGAGCCGGGGGTTAACCCTAGCTGGCATGGAACTCCCTATGTAAAGTCGAGAGACAGAGGCAGAGGCAGGTGAATCTCTGTGAGGTCCAGGCCAGCTATGACTACAAGGAGACCTGGTCTCAAAAAAGACCCAAAAATTAGGGCTGGAGAGATTGCTCAGTGGTTAGAAGCACTTACACACGTGCAAGCAAAACACTGAAACACATAGAAATAAATGAATATTGCCGGGCATGGTGGCGCACGCCTTTAATCCCAGCACTCGGGAGGCAGAGGCAGGCAGATCTCTGTGAGTTCAAGGCCAGCCTGGTCTACATAGTGAGTTCCAGGACAGCTGGGGCTATAGGGAGACCCTGTCTCAAAAAGACCAAAAAAAATTAATATTACAAAAAGAAAAATCTAACCTAAATAAGATTCTACTCATGACAGCAGGAAGATGTATTATTTCTAAGAAGAACTAATTTAACCAAGCTCTCTTTAGAGAAAAATTTTTAATTCTCATAAATGACACAGGTGGACCTGAATAAATAGAGTCTATGGTCTTGGATGAGACAAGAATATTATAAAAATTTCAAGTTCCCACAAATTAAAAATAATCTGTTAAGTGTCACCCCAAACACAAGTTTAATTTTTAAAATTTTCTTTTGATCTGAAAGGCCAGTGATGGCTCTTCACAATTGAGCCACTTCTCCAGGTCCATAGATTAGATTTTTCTCAGTGATTACCTCCAATAAAGACCTACTTTTGGTTTTTGTCAGTTGCTCTTGTATCCAACACCTTTGCCAAGTTCCTTGATGAGTCTTAATGGGCGGTTGATTCTGCTTTTTTTTTTTTCATAGACAGGGTCTCACTATGTAACTCCAGCTAACCTAAAACTCACTATGTAACTATGTAGACCAGACCAGCCATGAGCTTAGAGATCTGCCCGCCTCTGCCTCCCTAGTGCTGGGATTAAAGGTGTACACCACGACACCCAGTTAATTCTGCCCTTTTTTAAGGTAGATAATTCCATCATCAACAAGTTTTCAGCTTTTACCCTTCCTGTCTAATCCCCCCCCACACTTTTCATCTAGCATTGACTACAATCTCTAATCCTATACTAAATAAACATCTGTGTTTATGAATCCCTAAATCCAACCCCCGCTTTTCTGAATTGCTAGGAATTGAACCCAGGGCCATGAGCACATTAGGCAAGCACTTTACCATTGAGCTACAGCTACAGACCTTTAATTTACACTTAAACTGTCTCCACTCAGTAATATTTATTGTAGTCAGTCTTTACCATGTCATATCTTCCTAGTCCTATTTTATTGTTTTTCTTTATAAACTTTTTGCATTTTTTTCAAAATCCATTGGATTTTTTTTCTGTAGTTTAATTTGGTCCATTTACATTGATAGATTTCCTTTTTCATTCAAAAATTTTTAATTTATTTATTTTTATTTTCTGTGTATGAGTGTTTTGCCTGCATACATGTAAGTGCACCCATGTCTTGCAGTGCCTGCAGAGGCCAGAAGAGAGTATTAGATCCCCTGGAACTGGAGTTCTAGATGGTTGTTAGCTACCATGTGGGTACTGGGAACAGAATCCAAGTCCTCTGCAAGAGCAGCCAGTGCTCCTAACGGCTGAGCCATCTCTCCAGCCTCCATCGATAGATTTTCTAAAGCGGAACAATCTCTTCAGTCCCACAACAAAGCCCCCTGGATTGTTTTTAGTACAATGTTGACTCTGAACCCAGTATTTACTTTGGTTTGGACTTCTTGTTCTCCAAGAACCTGTGATGGAATTTCTTGCATCGCCTGCAACAAACTTTAAGACTAAGACAGCACTGGCTTCTCACATGCCCAAGGCAGACTTTGCTTCCTCCCCAATGTCTACATCTTGCATAAAGTAAGAACCAAATGTTTCATGTAAGATCAGTACACCTGAAAAACCACCCAAGTCTTGAATTTTCTGGAAGAATGGGTCTTTTTCTAACATTTCAATTATTTCACATTTATTAATCTATTCAAATTTATTCTTTTCTTTTTTTTTTTAGACAAAGTCTGGCTATGTAGCCCTAATTAGCATGGAATTCTCTATGCAGACAAGGCTGGACAGGAATTTGCAGTAACCTGCCTGCCTCTGCCTCCAGGTGCTGGGATTACAAGTGTGCACCAACATACCTGGCTCAGATTGATTTTTTTTTTCCTTATATTAATCTTGACATTTTACAGTTTTTCAAAGGAAATTATCTATTTCTATGATTTTAGAGAACATTCTGTTCAGGAAGGATTCTTGTAAAAATTTCTGTAGCTGAGCGTGGCAGTGCACACTTGTAATCCCAGCATTCTGAAGAATAGTTTGAGGCTAGCCTGAGCTCTGTCTCAAAAACAAAACAAACAGGGACTAGAAAGATGGCGTAGCAGTTAAGAGCACTGGCTGCTCTTCCAGAGAACCCAGTTCGACTCCCAGCACCCACATGGTGGCTAACAACCACCTATAACTGTAGAATCCAGGGTATTCTGGCCTCTGTGGGCACTGTGTGCATGTGGAGCACTTACATACATGCTGCCAAAACACTCACACATATAAAAAGAAAATAAAAATGAGAACAAAATCTTTATAAAGTGAATGATCCTTTTCTCATTTTTTCCTTCAATGTGTTATTTATTTACATATTTTATCTTGGTCATGAAAACAATATATCTATTTTGTTAAGCTTTTCAAAGAAACATTTGTGGGTTTCCTGGTCTCCATTTTTAAAATCTATTTCATTTATTGCAGCCTTTCTGTCTTTTCCTACTCTTGGGGACTCCAAGGGCTTCACATGCCTTCCTGTTTCTCCCATGAGTCCCATTCTTTAGAGGTCATTTGAAAGCTTCCAGGATATTCTGATTTTAGCATTCTCATACTTCATAAATAGGTTTATGGGTTTGTCTGTCTGCCTGTCTGTAGGTATGGTTCTTGTCTTGCCCTCCTGACAATCTGTGAGTCTTTTTATGTGTGTGGAGAAGGTGTGCACATGTGCCTGTGCTTGTGTAGGTGTGCATTCACAAGGCCAGAGTTTAGAGACTGGTGCATTTCTGTTTTCTGAGACAAGGTCTCCTACTGGAGCTCACCAATTGGCTAGGCTGCCTGGCCATTGAGCCCCTGAGATCTGCCTGTCTCCACCTTCCCAGCCCTGGGTTACAGGTGTACACTGCTTCGTAGGTTTTTTATGTGGAGAGTGAGGATCTGAACTCAAGTCTTTTTACTTGCATAGCAAACATTTTACCCACCAAGCCATCTCCTTAGCCCTGTATGGGTCTTTTCAATCTGAGATCTTTCCTTTTTCTGTAATTGAGAGAAATTTATATTTTTCCTTTCTTCAAATATTTCTTTCTTTCCATCTTTTCTTACTCATAAGGATTCTGATCTCCTCCCTCTCTCTCCCTCTCTCTCCCTCTCTCTCTCCCTCTCTCCCTCTCTTCCTCTCTCTCTCCCTCTCTCTCCCTCTCATCTTGTCTCATCTCATTCTGAGGATGGTGCCTGCAGCCTTTCCCACGCATTGCAAGCTCTCTACCACTGAGCCACACCGCAGCCCCTGGGGATGACAGGGATTCTCACCCTGTGATAACGTATCTACTCACTTGTTTCATTTCTCCTCATCACTCTGATTCTTCTTTGAGGGGTGGGATCTCATCCTTTTCCAGAAAATTCCTGCCAAAAGCTCCAGCTTTTCTTCCAGCTTACTCTCCAGCCACATCTATCCTTTCTGTCTCCCATATATTATAATCTAGGATATAATTGATCAAAAGCAATACCATCCAGCTTCTCTTAATACTCCTTATGCCTGAGTCCCAGATAATGTCTTCCCTTTCCTGTTAAGATGAGCTGATTATCTGTTTTGTTTTGTTGTTTTGTTCCAGACAGGCTCTTCCTGTAGCCCCAGTTGGCCTGGAACTCACTATGTAGACTAGGCTGAACTCAATCTCACAGAGACCTGCTTGCCTCTGCCTCTACCTCCTGAGTGCTGGATTAGACATGTATACCACCACATCTACTTTATGTGGTGTGGGGAATTGAACCCAGGGTCTTGTGCATTCTAACTGCTCTGGTTTGCTTTCTATTGCTATGATAAAAACACTGACCAAAACCAACTTGGGAGGAAAGGGTTTATTTTACCTTACAACTTACAGTTCATCATTGAGGGGAACCAGGGTAGGAACTCAGGGAGGAACCTGGAGCACAGACCATGGAGGAATGCTGCTTACTGACTTGCTCCCTGGCCCTACGCTCAGCCTACTTTCTTGCATAACACAGGACCATGCTCAGCCTGCTTTCTTATATAACACAGGACCACCTGCCCAGGGGTGGCACCACCCACAGTGATCTGGGCCCTCCCACATTACTCAGCAATCAAGAAAATGCCTCACAGACAGGGCCACAGGCCAATCCAATGGAAACAATTTCTCAGTGGAGGTCCCCTCTGTCAGGTGTATCAAGTTGACAACTAAAAGTATCGAGCAACTAACACTCTACCGATGAGCTACATTCCCAACCTGGTGATGATCACTCTTTTTAGTTCCTCTAAGCTGCCAAGTCATTGAGGCTTGTGAAGTCAGGAGCTTCTGGACTTAGCAAACACCCAGTGAGGTGGAAGAGAGGACCTAAAGACTTAAACTCTTTGCTATAATGAGGTTTTATTTATTTATTTATTATCTACTTGTTTTGAGAGTGTATGAACTCCCTGGACATCCCTTTCGAGGACCCTCCCTCTGAAGAGACCCCTGACTTACCAGTGCTCAGTGTCATTGGTGGAAGGGACAGAGGTCTCTGCAGAAGTGATCAGAACTAAGGGGAAGGCAAAGAAGAAGGTGGCTGTTCAGAGAACCAGGACAGAGAATGCGGAAAATCTTAAAGCTTTTTTTTTTTTGTCTTTTTGAGACAGGGTCTCCCTGTAACCCCAGCCGTTCTGGAACTCACTATGTAGACCAGGCTGGCCTTGAACTCACAGAGATCCGCCTGGCTCTGCCTCCTGAGTGCTGGGATTAAAGGCATGTGCAACCATGCCCGGCAGGTTTTTCTTTTTGAGAGAGTCTCACTATGTAGCCCTGTCTGGCCTGGAACTCACAGAGATTCACCTGCCTCTGCCATCCAAGTGCTGGGATTAAAGGAGTGCACTATCATGCCAGGCTTAAACTTAAAACTTTTTAAAAAATATTTTATTTAATATTTTATTTATTATTTTATGTGTATGAGTGTATTGCCTGCATGTATGTGAGTGCATCCAAGTTGTGCAATGCTGCGGACAGGGTTTCGGATTCCCCTGGAACTAGAGTTAAGGATGGTTCATAGCCATCATGTGGGTGCTGGGAATTGAACCCGGGTCCTCTGCAAGAGCAGTCAGTGCTCTTAACCACTGAGCCCCAAATTTTAAACTTTTACATATTTGTGGGATTAATGTCAGAGGCAGGCCTCCCTGAATCTTGGCCTCCATGAGTTGCCTGGTCATCTGCCTTTTCTTCCTGAAAACCTACCTGTCCTTGTTGGGAGCAAGGTGGTAGTCTGTGTAGAAAAACTGGAAAATGCTAAGATAAAAAAGAGAACACAATTTTAGGGGGGTGGAAGAGAGAATGGGGTCCGGCCCCCCAACTGTGACAGGATATAGGAGGCTCAGAGCTGATCCCTTTAGGACCAGGGTCCCTCAGGACAGGGGTTAGTGGGTCTAAAATCTTTACCTTAAAACTTTTATGTATTTATGGCCTGGCAAGATGACTCAGTGGAGCACAGGCCTGACAACCTGAGTTCAGTCCCTGGAGTCCACAGTGGAAAGAGAGAACGAACTCTTAAAAGTTGTCCTCTGACTTCTACATATGTGCTCTGGCAGATGGAAGCCTACACTCCCACACATCATACACACATATACACACATGCATTCGTAAAATAAAAATTAAAACAAAGCCTTTTACATATTTACTGGGTGCCATATGATATTTCAATACATTTTATAAATGGCTTAATTTTAAAATCAAAGTAAACCTGTCTCCTCAACATTTAACATTTCTTTATGGTAAAAACATTAAAAATCTTTCTAGCTTTTAAAGAAATGAATAGTACGTTATCACTAAGATCATCCTGCTGTGCAACACAATAACAGAATTTCTCCTTTAAAGATTTATTTTTATGTGTATGAGTATTTTGCCTACATGTATGTAAGTGCACTACATGTGTGCAGTGCCTGCAGAGGCCAGAAGACAGTGTCAGTCCCTGGAACTGGAGAGTTATAAGTAGTTGTGAGCTGGGAACTGAACCTGGATCTTCTGCAAGAGCAGCCAGTGCTCTTAATCGCTGAACCATCTCCCCAGCCCCAACACCAGAATTTCTTTCTCCTTACTATTAATTAACATTCTTTGGCCAATCATCCCCTGTTGCTCCCTCCCCTCTGGCAACCACCAATACACTCTCAATTTCTATTAGATCAGCTTTTTTTCTAGACAGGGTCTCATGTAGCCCAGGCTTGCCTTGAATTCACTATGTAACTGAAGATGGCCTTAAACTTCTGGTCGTCCCGCTTCCACCTCCTAAGAGGTGGGATTATAGGCATGTGCCAACTTCCCTGGTTTTAATTGGTACTGGGGATGGAATCTGGGGTTTTGTGCATGCTAGGCAAGCACTTTATCAACTGAGCTACATCTCTAGTCCAGAGATCAACGTGATTAGATTCTACATATGAGTGAGGTCATGCAGATTGTCTTTCTGTGCCTGGTTTATTTCACTTAACATAATGATCTCCAGTTCCATCCCTGTTGTTGCAAATGACAGGATTTCATTTTTAATGGCTGAATAGTACTCTCTGCGGCATTCACATTTTCTTTATCCATGCATCAGACACATGGTTTACATTTCTTGGCTTTTGTCAATAGCTCTGCAGTAAACACCGATGTGCAGGTGTCTCTTTGACATCCTTGTTTCATTTCCTTTAGATATATAGCTAGTCAGGAGATTGGCAGAACACATAGTGGTTCTATTTTTAATTTTTTGAGGAAGCTGTTTTCGCAATGACTGTGTTAATTCACATTCCCACCAGCTGTATATAAGGATTCCCTCTTCACATCTTCCCCCAGCACATGTTCACTTGTGTCCTTTTAGTAAGAGCAATTCTTACTAGAGTGAGTGAGGTTATATCCCACTGTGGTTTTAATGTACACTTCCCTGATGTTAGTGATATTGAGGATTTTGCTAGGCATTTGTGTGTCTTTCTCTTTAAAAAAAAAAATGTCTTCTTAGGTTGGGCCTGAGACCTTTATGAAGTTCTTAAATAAAATCTAGCACTGACTAATGGGGAGGAGTCTCCCCAACCTGGTGGGAAGTGACCAAATAGCCGGTGTTCATCTCTCTATATCTGAAGCCCTGAATGGAGCTTCTTTGTAGCCCTGTACCCAGGATATCAACCCCAGGGGTAGACCGCCCCTAACCTCAAGCTCCCTGAGTTGCCTGCCCACCCCTCTTTCCTCCTTACAATGCCTACCTGTCCTTGTTGAGAGCCACGTACTGGTTGGTGAAGGAAGAGTGGACCAGGCTAAAGAGAAAAAGAGAAAATGACTGTGCAGGAGCCTAGAAAGGAGGGTTGGGTCTGACCCCCAAACTTTGACAGGATATAAGGGGACTCAGAGGGAGTCCCTTGGGGTCTCTCAAGCCAGCAGTGACCTGTGCCATAAATCTGCACAGCTGTGCCTGTGTAAGAAGAGAGTCAGGGCTAGAAAAATGGTTCAGTGGTTAAGAGAATGTGCTGCTCTTGTAGAGAATCTGAGTTTGGTTCCCAGCACCCACATCAGGTGGCTTGAAACTGCCTGTGTCTCTAGCTTCAGGAGATCCAATGCCTTTGGCTACCACAAGCACCTGCACACATGTGGCATATACACACAGACACACAGACACACACATAGCACACAGACACACACACAAAGAGAGACAGACAGACAGAGACAGACACACAAATAAGGGAGGGAGGGAGGGAGGGAGGGAGAGAGAGAGAGAGAGAGAGAGAGAGAGAGAGAGAGCGCTACTTCAGGTCTCTGCCCTGTGAACCTTAGGCATTATTTCTCAGTGCCAGAGCCAGGAATGGTAGGGACAAAGTTGAGAACCCACCAATGGGCTCCTCATTCCCCCACTCCCCTCCATCAGAATAGACGGCGTGTTAGGATTGGGGGTGACAGGTGCATGGGTAGGGAGAAGTGACATATATAGGGGGGCCTTAGGGGAGGTGGTGTTTCCCCCAAGAAAGGCCTCACCTAAAGACACCACCAGGCTGATGTTTCTGAGCACGGTGACCATTCTGTGGGAAGCATTGTAGTGTCCACACCAGTAGGGAGCGGAGTCTGTCTCCTTCAGCTGAGTCACATTGATGATAAAGAAGCCGGCTTCAGGGTCATCCCATATTGTGTGTCGTTGCTCGTTAGCAGCTGTCCGAGGCTGAGTGGTAGTGACCACTCTCGTACACCTATTTGGAGCCGTCTGCTGACACCAGGTTTTCGGTACATAAGGCCCTGTCTTGGGCATGTACTGGCACCGCATGGACAGTGTCTGTCCTACCACTCCATGAAGTTCCTCAGGCTCAACAATCACTCCCCAGGAACCTGCCCAACAAGCCATCAGGTCAGAGCCCTGGATGTACACGCCTGCTCACCAGACTGGTGAAGCTGGAAGGCAATAGCTTCTAAGCACCCAGACTCAGAACATAGCCCCAAAGACTGCCCTCTGGTGACAGGGTCATCCTGCTCCCCACCCCACCCTCATCCTTCATCTACTCCTCAGCCCTTTACATCCCCGTCCATCTCACCTGAAACCAGAAGAGCCAACAACAGAGGGGTCAACGGCAGGTATGGGCACCCCTGGGCCATGTCACCCTTGATTCTGTCAGTGGAATAGAGGACAAGAAGGGAAGGCCTTTGGACTGGGCAGGAGTCTTCCCCTAACTTCTCAGCATCTGTAAGCTATAGAACCAAAGGTCAATGCTTTGATTAGGGAAGTGACTGGCCTGGGTAGGCGGGCTCTGTGGGCACAGGGGAGGAGCTGAGCCTGGCCTGGATTGGGAACCCCAGCTGCAGCCATCTCTGGCCCTCACACCCCAGCCCTGCCCTGGTTCCTTGACTTCCTTTCTCCATCTTCTCATCCCTATCTCTCCACGTTTGCCACCAATCACGTGTTGCTGAGAGAAGAGAGAATACTCCAGAAAAACCCATGGTGAAGCAAGAGGCCATTCCTCCTTGTTCATTTTTCCTTTCCCTCTGTGATCTCTGGGTGAAAGGTAAAGGCCCCTGGTTCGTGCTCAGAGCCCTGGGTGTGGTTCCCAAGACAAGGCAGGGACCTCACTCCCAAGTAATGGTGTCTTTTCATCCTGGCAGAGTTTGTGGGGACCAGACATGAATTCCAGAAGCTCTAAGAATAGTCTGTGGAAAACATGGGGCCAGAAAAGCTGAGTAGAAAGAAAATGCAGAGGAGGGATTATGAGAGCGAAAGCCAGAAGGAATGGATCAGTTAGAGGAGAGAAAATTAGAGGGAGTTCATGACCGTGTTAATCAGTGTTTGTTAGAGGGATACGCAAGTAAGTGAAATGGTGGAAAAAAATCTTCTCATGGGAACAACACGTGCAAAAACGTGGAAGAAAAAAATAGCCAGAATTGAAACAATCCAGCAACAAAATTAATCAATACTAGACTATAATTCAAAATATAAAATATCCATGAGCCCTGGCCACTATAAGTGACGAGCTAAATAAACAAGTTGGGGAGACAGGACAATTCTCCCACGTGGGATTCTGCTGTTGTCGGAACGCTGGTATTCCTCCAAAAGTCATAAAGAAACCTAATTCCAGAAGAAGCCTGTGGGGAGTTCAAAAGTCTCACAGGCTCTGCTCTTGTGAATGAGATTAGTGCCCTTGTGAAGCAAGCAAGGTAGTGTGTTTGACCCTTGGCCTTGTGAGGACACTGTTCACCCTTCTGCTAATGAGGGTGTGATTAGAAGGCTTCGATAAGATTTGCATATGATTTGCATTTGCCTCCTAAGGGTTCATGGGTCAAAAGCTCAGTCCCCGGAACAGGTCACATGGTCCTTAGGAAAAATGAAGGAATTATGGGATCCCAGTCTCTCTCTGGCTTCCTGTCCAGTGACATAATCATCTATATGCACTCCTGACATTTGATGTCATCTGGCTTGAAGCCTTCACTAGAGCTCAGCTGATGCCTTTGAACCTCCAGATGAGCTAAAAAAGTCTCTTTTCTTTATAAAGTAACTGCCTCAGGTATTTCATTTTAATCACAGAACACTAATATAGGTGCTATCTTGGAAGGAGAAAGGAACTCTCCCCAGACGTTGAACCTATTGTCACCTTGATCTTTGCACTCAAGCTTCCAGAACTATGAGAAATAAATTTATACATAAAGTAGTTAGGTCAAGTATTTTGTTACAGTAGCTTTGACATGCTAGGATATACCTGAAATGATTTATATGTATACTCTGCTCTGAAAGAGAGAGAGGATAACACCTACTGCTTAAGTGTAAGGTGTCCATCAGGAGATTCAATCATTCGTTAAGTCATAGCCTGTGGGATCTAATAGCCTCAGAAAAGGTTCTGGGGGCTGGAGAGATGGCTCAGTGGTTAAGAGCACTGGCTGCTCTTGCAGAGAACCCTGGTTAGGTTCCCAGCACCCACATAGTGGCTAACAACTGTCCTTAACTCATGTTCCAGGAGACCTAGAGTCCTTCTAACCTCTATGAGTATTGCCTGCATGTGGTGCACTTACATATGTGCAGCCAAAACACTCATACAATAAAATAAAAATAAATAATTATTTTCAAAACAGGTGTCACAAGAAATGTCTGGATTCTTCAGGGTCCTGACTATTGCAAGAACAGTGATGCCCTAATAGTTCTGTGCCAGATGTTGCTTTAAAATGTCATTCCTAATACAATCCACAGAACTGATTCTATAAATCGCTTTAACAATCTATTTTTTAAAATCCCTCTCTAGGGGCTGGAAAGATGATTCAGCAGTTAGGAACACTGGTTGCTCTTGCAGAGGACCCAGGTTCAGTTCCCAGGACCCACATGGCAGCTAACAACCATCCATAATTCCAGTACCAAGGGATCCAGCACACTCTTCTGGCCTCCATGGGCACTGAATACACATGCAAGTAAAACATTCATACACATAAAATAAAAATAAATAAAAATCTAAAAAAATTAAAATCTGCTTAAAATACCTAGATTGAATTTTGCTGTCTGCAATTAAACCTTACAAAGTCCTGAGAAAACAGATCCTGTATTCCAGAAAGAAGTAGGAAGCTGATGTACACGTCTGCTGCCTTTATCCCTCACCTACGTCAAAGTCTGAAGTTGTTTGAAGAGAGAGGGAAGAGTCTGAGAAACAGTTGCAGTGGTAACCTTGAAGAAGGCCCAGACAGAGGGCTTCCAAGGTCAGAACAGAGCTTGCTCAGCGTCCCCTGCAGTTCGGGATACATAGCCACTCTGTGTAACTCAGGCCTGAGGACTTTACCAAGCAGAGCCGGCAGATGCCAGACTATCTGATGGTGAAACACAGCTGATGAGCAAGCATCATGGAGACTTTGTGAGATTGTTGGGATGAGTGAGGTTGAGGGGTGTTCTTCATGGACCAAGTGGTGGACTACACATAGGTGAGACATAGACTGTTGCTGGTCCTGTCTATACAGGCAGCCTGGATGTAGGTGCAAGACTTCAGTGGAAGGAGGCGAGTGGTGGATTATTGTTTTAGTTTCAGATCTGTTGCTGTGATGAAACACCCTGACCAAAAGCAACTCAGGGAGGAAAGTGTTTATTGACTTCCAGATCCAGGTGACAGTCTATCAATGAAGGGGAAGTCAAGGTAGGAACTCAAGGCAGGAACATAGCATTACCACCAACAAAGGAATTTACTTCACAGACAAAGAGTGTGTCAGAAACCATGAAGGATGCTGTTTACTGGCTCATAGACAGGCTTATGCTCAGCTAACTGTTTATACAGTTCAAGACTACCTGCCTAGGGAATGGTGCTGCCCACAGTAGACTGGGCCCTCCTATAGCAACTGATAGTTCAGACAGTCCCCCACAGATATGCCCATAGGCTAATCTGATCTGGGGAATTCCTCACTTGAAGCTCTTCTCAGATGACTTGTGTCAAGTTGACAGTTAAGGTTCCACCAAAACAACTGTCAAGAGCTGGGAGACTGAAGTTGAAACCAGCCACAACCAGTCAGGAAAAGGATGACCTGCCACATCAAGGAAACTTCAGGTGACAGGCAAGGGCTGTCTGGGGAGCTCTGCTTGAACCCCAGAGTTGGCAGAACACTTTCTATCCTCTTGCTCCTCTTCTGCTCCACCCTGGAGATGTCCTGTGCAGGTGGAGATGGTAAAGAAAAAAAAAGCCAAAATTTGGGGGAGAAGCATTAATTTTTTATTGATTTGGTTTGGTTTTCAGAGGTGGAGAGCAAACTCAGGGTCTTGTACCTGCTAGGCAAGGGCTTTACTTACCACTGAGCTACACCCCTAGTCCAAGCTTTGATTTATAAATGGAGCCCTCCTTCTGAACTGGCTCAGCAAACTTCCCTAAGTTACTCCATCTTGTTTAGAGCCATTTTAGCAGCAGCTTTACTCCACACTAAAAGGAAAAGGGGGGCAACCTTGGGCCTTGGAAAATTGTCCTAGCCATGAACCATGGAATGTGCTAATTCCAGACATTTTACATCTGACTAACCAGCTTGTTTTCACTTCCGTAATCTGTTTGCTATCTTGGGTCAACTTGATACAGGGCATAAGACCACCCTTGTTATCCTGTTATTGTATGACCACCTAGAAGTCATTTACCTTGACTGTCTTATTATACTTATTATGGCTAAAACAGTTGGCTAGTTTTAAGGTCACAAAGTTGAGTGCCAAGTTATATGACTGTATCACTTGTCTGTATAATGATTGGTTGTTGATTAATAGAGTCAAAATTCTGCTATGTTGTACAAACCTGATTGGTTCACAAATGTCCTGTTTTAATAATAATTCTGTAATCCTATAAAAACTCTGACCTGACAATCATCAGGGCTGCTTCTACTCCCAAGATAGACAGCCCGGCCGGTCGAAAATTAAAATTTACCTTGCTACTTTTCTTAAAGTGGTGTTGGTGATTTTTTTTTTACAGACTCTGTCCTATAACACTTCCCTACCTTAATTACTGAACTGAAGCTAGTTTTTGGAATAAAATTGTATTCCCCTTAAAAATTGCCACATAGGCTAGGCAGGGTAACACATACCTTTAATCCCAGTGCACAGGAGGCAGGGGCAAGCAGATCTCTATGAGATCAAGGCCAGCCTGGGCTACATAGTAAGTTTCAGGCAAGCCAGGCTACAGGGAGATCCTGTCCAGAATTTAGTTCTCAACACCCACATCAGGTGACTCACAACTGCCTACAACTCCAACTCCAGGGGGTCTGGCAACCTTTTCTGGTCTCTACAGTCGCCTGCAAGCACATGCACAGGCATACACATAAATAACAATAAATCTTTTTTAAAAACATCACCATACAGGATTTTTAGGGAAAAGAGACCTTTCTGCATAACGTAATGTTTGGAAATATGTGATTATAGGTTTGTCAGTATTCAGAGAGCATGTGACACTAGGAGGGACTCTAACAAACCGCAGCTTCAGCTGACCATGATATGTCTGTGTACGTCCATCCAGTGTGGCAAATATCCTACTCTGAAGGGGCAGGATGTTGGGAGTGGGGAGAACGATGAGGAGAGGCCAGGAAGGAGATTTCTTAGTTTCTTTTCAGTTGCTGTGATAAAACACCCTGATAAGAGCAACTTAAGGGAGAAAGGGTTTATTTGGGCTTCAACTTCAGTCCATCATGGGGGATGGGGGGTGGAGTCAAGGTGGCCAGAGCTCCACATCCACAACCCATACAGAATCCCATCCACAATCAGGAAGCAGAGAGTGAGGAACACATGCAGGCACTCAGCTCATTTTCTCCACTTTACAAAGTCCAGAACTGCCTGCCCAGGGAATGTTCCTGCCTACAATTAAGATGGGTCTTCCCACACCAATTAACATAATGAAGATAATTCCTCACAGACAGGCTTAGGAGCTAACCTTAATCTAAATAATCCCATATACATGTGCCTGGAGGCTTGTCTCCTAGGGGATTCCAGACAGCCAGGATGACAGCACCATCCATCCCAGGAGGAACTTGGGAACTCTGCACTTGTGCCGCAATTTTGCTATGAACCTAAAACTGCATTAAAAATATGGTTTTTTTAATTACCCAAAGAATGGTGGATTATGTCATAAGTGTCACCTAAGGTCCAGTGAAGTCCTCAGAAAGGCAGGCCTGGCCAACAGGTGGGGAATGGAGACAAGGTTTTTGAGGGGAATTCTTTGTGTTGCTTGATAGCTCTATGGAAGGCCCAAATGTCTTGCAGTTCTGTGGTCTCCAGTGATATTGCTTGAGGTTCTGTCTACGCAGTCCTCCTCAGAACTGTCCTCAGTGAGCAGAGCTCACAAAGGAAGTGCAGGAAGGCTTGAACTATCCCCATCACAGAACATAGTAAGGTATGCTGCTAGTTCATGAAGTGAAGGTGTGCTCTCAACAGGAAGGCTGCTGCTGCCCAGGGATTCCCTGTGCTTTCCACACCTCGGGAGGCTGTGATACCTGTGCAGGAAGAGGAATGGACAAGCTTTACAAATGATGGGCCCAGGGACTGGAGAGATGGCTCAGCAGTTAAGAGCACTGGCTGCTCTTGCAGAAGACCTGGGTTCAGTTCCCAGCACCCACAAGGTGGCTAATAACCATCTGTAACTCCAGTTCCAGGGGATCTAATGCCCTCTTTTGACCTCCTTGGGCATTGCATGGCACAGGCACACTTATACACATGCAGGCAATACACTCATACACATAAAATAAAAATAATAAATAGCCAGGCATGGTGGCGCATGCCTTTAATCCCAGCACTCGGGAGGCAGAGGCAGGCGGATCTCTGTGAGTTCAAGGCCAGCCCAGTCTACATAGTGAGTTCCAGGCCAGCTGGGGCTACAGGGAGACCCTGTCTCAAAAAGACCAAAAAAATAAATAAGATAAATAAGTAAAAATAATAAATAAAATATTTTTAAAAAGAAATGATGGGCCCAGCCAGCCCAGGCTTTAGTCAAATATCCCTGATCTAAAGGAAAACCAAGTGGCCCACCATGCCATCCATGTGCTCAGGTCTTCCTGTCCTAGGGAAACCCATCCAATCCTCTGAACACAGTTTCTAGAATCCTGGCTTATACCCAGCACTGTGCCCAGGGCTGGCCCTGCCCCCTGACCTCAAGGCTGCTGAATGGGGAATCCAGAGCACAGGTTCTGGGGAGCCTTTGGGAGATAACCCCTCAGAGCCAGTGATGCCTGTGTCTCTTCATTCTTCAGTACCATGTACCTTCGGCCCAGCTTTCCAGAGAAAGACAAACAGGACAGAGACTACCAAGCCCTTGTTCAGGATGAATCTACACATCAGCACCAGCAGGTCTGTGAGGTCAAAGGTAAGTGTGGACTCTCTAGGGTCGACGCTATAAAATCTGAAGAGGAGGGTGTGCGGCCTGCAGAGCTCTGAAGTCCAGCCTGCTCCTTGTCTCCCAGCCTTTGGAGTGCTCAGTAGGGTTGTTTGCCCTTTGCAGAAGGGACTTTGACCATATCCAGGATCCTCTCTGCCTCTACTATCCCACACCCCAAGTCTCCTGCACACAGCTTAACTACCACCTGCTCCCACTTCTCCCTAACACTAATGCCACCCCATTCTGTACTTTCCAACTCTACTGCTGCCTTCGAAGTCTCTGGTTCCCAGCCCTTCCCACAGTTCTGTTTGGTAAGTGCTGTTTTTGAAAATACAAATGGTCTTTGGGAGTTTGGCTGAGACCTGGTCCTTACTGAGTGCCTGAGTGATGCATGACAAAGATCGCTGTCAGGCTGTCTCCAAGGTGTTTGGAACAACTTTTCTTCTCCTATGGGCAGCTCTCTCCCAAGTTCATTACCACAGAACTATACTGGCTGAGGGAGAAAGGTTCACAGGGTCCTAGCAGGTCAAAGATGGGAGTGTTCAACACAGTCCCACAGAGCAGGATGGACAGGGAGTGACCAAGATCAACAGCTCCTCTAGGCAGTCCTAGATCATCCTAGAAAGAAATCTTGCCTTTGCTTTTCCTGATCTTCCTATCAGCAAGCTGACGTAGGAGATCAAAAGTTCAAAGCCTAACCTGGGCTGCAGAGTGATTTCAAGGTCAAGCTGGGCAATTTAACAAGATCGTATCTCCAAATGAAAAAAAAAATTTAATGGGTATGGACATAACTCAGTGAGAGTGTTTGTTTTGCATGCCTGGAGCCTTGGGTTCTATCCCCAGTACCACACAAGGAAGGGAGGGATGGAGGAAGGGTATGGGGAAGGGGAAGAGGAAAGAGGGAAGGGGGGAGAGAAGGGGAGGGGAGGGAAGGGGAAGGCAGGGCAGAGGAGGGGAGGGGGGAGGGGAAGGGAGAGGGGAGAGGGGAAGGAAAGGGGAAGGGAAGGAAAGGCCGCGTTGTCCCCTCAGACCACTTGGGTCATGGCTGCAGGTGTCCTTTGTGGGTGGCTACAACCTATTTCTCCTGTGATCCCTCCAGGCAGGGACCAGCCATGTTAGATGCCACTTCTCAGCCACATTGGCCTAAGGTTTCTCCCATCCCTAGAGAGAAAGCATGGGAAGCTGCATCAATGCCACTTCCTGCTCTTTGTGGTTTGGGGAAGATAATCCTGTTTCAGTTCATCCTTTACCAACTTGATGTGGTTCTCAGGCAGGAGGATGGGCTCAGTTACCTCAATTACTTCTGTAGTTTCTAATTAAGACTTCAGTTAAAGAACTGGGTGGAAATCGAGTGATGGATTCAGAGCAACTGGGCCCAAACTCCCTCCCAGTGCCTGGAGCAGACCCACACGGCCCAGTGTGCAATACGTATGGGGCCCTTAGGTCTCTGCAAGCAGTAAATACAGAGAACCCAAAACATGGCCTCTACCAAATGCCATAGCAGGGAGGCCAGGCCGACAGGTGCATCAGAAAGGATGAGGGACCTGCCCAAGGTCACTGAGTAGGTTCAAGACCAAAAGTGACCAAGGATCTGGACCTTCCTGCTATCCCAAGATGGTTGTGCTTCCCTCATGTCCTGAGGTTAATAACATGTTCCTGAGCTGAGGGTAAGGGGCTGTTTGGCTGCAGCGGCCTCTTCATTTCTGAGTGAGTCTCAAAGGTAGAGACTTCTTTTATTCCATTGCATGGTCAGTACTTGCTGTCCCTTTGTTTGGTCAACTCTTTTGTGTGTATCGTGTATGTGGGGGGGGGCATATAGGACTGTCTTCTGACAGACAGACTCCATCTTCCTGAGTTCAGCTGTGCTTACTCACCAAAGGTCATCATAGCTGGACTTGTTGACTGCTGATGCCCCAGCAGAGGTGGGGCAGGGAGAGTCATGAGACCTGAGGATCCAGCCATCCCTCCCAGCCTGTGGTGATCAATTCATCCCTAACTGTATATGGCCAGGGGGAAAGGCTAGAGTATATGGGTTGGGAAAGACTAGGGGAAGGGCTCTATTTAATACAGCTACGAGAAACTCATTCACCTAAGACTTTCTAATACAGCCATATCGGGGAGCACCCACACTTCTGAAAGTAACCCCTCATTTAGTGCTCTGTAAGTCAGCGTAATAAACTTACTGGCTTCCCAGAGGGCACTTTGGTGGGATAATACCTGGGTTCGTTGTTAGGACATTCACATTCCCTGGAAGAAGGAATTTTAGCAACAAGGCCAGAGATCAACCTCAGGTGTCGTTCCTTAGGAACGCTCCACCTTGTTGAGACAGGATTTCTCACGGGACTTGGAGCCCATTACTTAGGCTCGGCTCCCATCTCCTCTCCAGCCCTGGAATTATAGGAAGGTGCCACAGTGCTTAGCTTTTTACACAGATACTAGGGCTCAAACTCAGGTCCTCATGCTTTCCATGGCAAGTACTTTACAGACTGAGTTATCTCCCATCCCAAAAGAGGTTGAGTAAGCAAAAGAGCAATGCTCTGTGGTGACAGGGCTTCCCAGCCTCCCAGCTCCAACAGCAGAAACTTATTGAGGACTTATTGAGGACCAAAGCCTCAGGCTCCACTTTCCCCGTGCCACTTCCCTACTTGGGTAGCCAGGCTTTTTTAACAGAGTAGGACAGGGAGCCTGTAGTTTGTCCTTGTTGGTAAGAAACAACTAAAGGCCAGTGAAAGGTCCTTCATTCTGTTCAATATCTGGTCCTCCTGAGAAAGGTGAAGCTGTTATTGGTGGAGCTGGGCCCATTTCACAGTCCCCATCAGGGACCATCAAGTCAAGTAGGCCTGTGGGCTTCCAGTGGCTCCCTGACCTACAAGCGCAGGGGGTGACTAACCTCCCAAGTCCTCCTTGGCACAGAAAGACAGTGGCACTGGTGTCAGTAGGACAAGTAGTCAGCTGCAACCTCACTCCTGACAGATGGTCAGTTACCAGTTTCTCTAGAAGATTCTGTTCCATGGAAGTAGATAGCTTCTGAGTTCATTGCATCCCACTTACAAGCGAAAACTGAGACCCAGAGGTGTGACACAGTAAGAGCAGGGGAGGTCCGGGTGCCCTGACTGCAGGTCTAGAAGATTCCATTACTCTGAGCTGCCTCCTCAAAGCAGCCGCTTGAGGCAATGAGGTCTCAGCCTACTACTGACCAGAAGAGATTCTATCTAATAGAATCCTCTACAGCTTACCTTCACAATGCCCTGGCCAAATCCCTTGAGGCAATGAGGTCTCAGCCTACTACTGACCAGAAGAGATTCTATCTATCTAATAGAATCCTCTACAGCTTACCTTCACAATGCCCTGGCCAAATCTGATCGTGCAAGACATCAGTATTCTCAGAAGAGAGGTGAATCACACACTGGTACAGCCCTGAGTCCTGCCTCCAAAGCCCTGTCATGGTGACCTTGAAGACAGCTTTGGTAGGGAAATCCTCCAGCAAGTACCTCCCAGCCTGGGCTCAGGTGAAGCCTGAATTCCTGGTACTTCTGAGCACCAAAGTCTCTGAGCGAACCTGGCTCCTGACCCGCTGCCAGGCCTTCAGACTGGCTGGACACATGATGATATTGTAAGGACAGGTCACATCAGGTTTTGGCCTTGCAATAGCCTCAGCTTCGGTTTGGAGCCCTGGAATAGGAGGCAGGGGTTTTGTGATCCCGACTTCTCTCTTCTCCCCCCACAGAGGTAGCATGTTAACAGCCCCCAAAAGCATGCAGGACTTTAGGAGCGCTATAACTATTCTGATTCTTACACCATTCAGCAGTTTGAGTGTGTATGTGTCCAGTAAGATACACACACACACACACACACACACACACACAGACATACACACACACAGCAAATAAGGCAGGATGTCAATCATGGTTGAATGTTTGAATCTAGGTGTTAAGTTTAAATCATCATTTTGTCTGCATTTTGTACAGGAGAAAATGTTCATAATAAAAAATTACAAAAGGGTGCTAGAGAGATGGCTCAGTTGTTAGGAGCACTTGCTGCTCTTGCAGAGGACCCGCGTTTGGTTTCCAACACCCACATAATAGCTCACAACCCACCTGTAACTACAGTTCCAAGGGATCCAACCCCTTCTTCTATACACATGTAGTGCACATAAACTCATGCACACACAAAAATAAAACAAAAGTATAATACTATAATTAATAATTAATCATTTAAAAATTTTTCAAAGAACTTTACTAGCATTTGCAGCACAATTTTGATTTCTGTTTCTGGACATGTATGTGCACATACAGTCATCTTCTTTTTATTCTTTCTCTTTCTTGCTTCTCTACCCCCTCTGTTTCTTTCCTTTTGACAGGATCTCACTCTGCAACCCAGGCTGGCCTGGAACTCACTCACCATGTAGCCTAGGCTGGCCTCAGATTCACCACAATCCTCCCACCTCAGGCTCCCTGAGTACTGAATTACAGGCCTATTTACCACCACGCCCAACTCCATATCATTTTCTGTTCTGTTTGTGGTGTCCCTTGCTACCTGTCACACAGCCCCTTCTGTTCACTCCTGGTGTCCTCAGGTAGAATCCCTCCCACCCCTGTCCAGACAGGCATCCACCTGAACACAGCCAATGCACTGTTTTCTTTTCCTTACCACGGACCACCTAGACTCAGTTACACCACCGCCACCGTCATCATCCTAACTTTCATTAATCATTTAGTATGCCTGAAATACTGATCCAAGAGCTTTCCATCAACCCATTGGTTAATCTTAAGATAACTTTCTGACATATGTGCCGTCTATGGAATGAAGGCTTGTGAGTTGATGCTATTTACCAATGAGGAAACCCAGGCTCAGAGAGGTCAGGGCCCTGTCTCAAGGTCACACATGTAGGAGTGAGGGGACTGGAACCCAGCCCCGCCTGACTCTGGAAGTCTTCCCTTCTTTCCCCTCACCCTCGGGGCTTGCTACAGGGTCTTCCTCCTGCCCTTTGTAACTCTTCTTTTCCTCTACTCATGCCCCTGCTAGCTCATGTTCCTTTAAGGGCAGTTTACACCCCGGTCTTTGCCTCCTCCACGGGCATCAACACGGCACTGAGGGTCACCTGCTTACTTCCACATAACTTTTTCAACTTTCTCAAGATGCTTTGGAGGAACTTCCAGTTTGTTTCATGACCTGGTTCCTGCTGAGTCAGGGTGGACCACCATGGTCTGTCTCCCCTTAGCCATCTCCAACCCTCTCTTTGGTGCCCTTTCACCTGTCTCTTCTTACTTGGGATGCAGACCAACAACCCCACCAGCAGCAGCAGCTGTGATGGCCCCCAGACCCCAGCCCTTTCCATCCTACGCACCTCTATCTTCAAGCGGGAAGTTGCTGGAGGGTGCTGCCTGCCCCACATGGGTGTTTACTGACTTTTGCCCTGGGAAACTCCACTGTTTGGTTTCATTGAGAAACTCTGAGGGAAATGTGACAAGAGGAAACTGCCCCAGGGAAATGCAGAAGCTGAAGACAGGAGAGGACCCAGCCCTGTGACAGCTCCCTTCCTGCTTTTAAGTCACTGTCTGTTGGGAAACACTCTCTGACTGGAGTTCTCTACCACAGCACTTCTGGCCACCCACCTGCAGTTCTTCTACTTCTCCTTCACTCCTTCCAGTCACTGTCATCACCACTGACCAGTGCACAGGTGCACTTGTGTGTGAAGATGCACGTGCATGTATGTGTACGTGTATGCGGAGGTCAGAAGACAACTTCAATTGTTATTCTTTATGCAACATTATCCTTGTTTTTTTGAGACAGGGTCTCTCCTTGGCCTGGAACTCAGCATGTACAGTCAGCAAGCCTGAGGGATCCACTTGTCTCTACCGCCTCAGTGCTGGATTACAAGTACACACCACCACACCCAGCTTTAAATTCTTTTTACGGCACCTCGGAATTTGCTCATATGAACTTTCAGCAAATGGTGACAGCATGCAAAAGGCCCATGCAAACTCAAACCAGACAAAAGCCCAGTGTAGAACTTGGGAAACGGGTAAGAAGTCCCATTCTTAGCTGAGGAACTATTGGTAACTGATCACTGTTGGGTGAGGGAGAGTTGATCTTCTTTAAGAGGTTAATGCTAAATAGGTTAACCAGGCTCCAGTGGATGGACTCACACTGAGGGACATTTGGGGACATAAACTTGACTCAATAAGCCTTAACACATATAACAGAATGCATGAAATCTGGCCAGGGAGGTGAAATCTGACTATGGGAGGTGCAGAGAGGGGACGGGATATAAATATGATCAAAATGTATTGTATGAAATGCACAAAAATTCAGTGAAGAATGTTTAAAGTTTTTGTTTGTTTATCTATATTCTTTGTGTATGAGTGTTTTGCCTGCATGTATGTGAGGGCACCATGCATATACAGTGATCAAGGAGGTCAAAAGAGGATGTTGCACCCTCTGGTACTGGAGTTACGGATAGTTATTAGCTGCCATGTGGATGCTGGGAACCAAACCCAGATCCTCTGCAAAAATAGCAACGTGCTCTTAACTGCCGAGCCATCTCTCCAGCCCCACCAGGCTTTTTTATGTGAGTTCTAGGAATCAAACTCAAGTCCTCACGCCTGTGTGGAAAGTACATTACCAACTGAACCATCTCCCCATCCTTTGACTCACCTTCTTTAATCTCATTCTACCCAGACTTCTCACTTGGGAAGACTGGCACACATACACCCTCCTGGGCTCCATCCTCAAAGGATCTGACTTGGCAGATCCATAGAGAGACCAAGGATCTGCCTTTTTATTTATTATTTTTATTTTATGTGTATGCGTGTATTGCCTGCATGTAAGTAAGTGCACCCGTGTTGTGCAATGCCTGCAGAGGACAGAAGAGGCTGTCGGATCCCCTGGAACTGGAGTTACGGACAGTTGTTAGCTGCTGTGTGGGTGCTGGGATTCGAGCCCAGGTCTTCTGCAAGAACAACCAGTGTTCTTAACTGCTGAGCCATCTCTCCAGCCCCAGATCTGCCTTTGAACAAGCATCCTAGATGATTTTGGCCCAAGAGTCCACAGAGCCCGTACCTGCAAATGCTCTGTTGGCAGTCAGAGCACACTGCAACCTGCCTGGCCTCTGTGTCCTACCTATGTGTGAGGCATAGGCTCCCCTGGGCAGTGCACGATAGTGACAGGAGCGTCTGCCATGGTGAAGTCTTGCTGTGTCCCTTGTGCTTTTAACCCAGTCATCTTATTTAATCCCGTTAGCTAGGGGACTGTATAATGATGTTTTCTTTTGATTTCCAACACCAAACAGTCGTGTGTGTGTGTGTGTGTGTGTGTGTGTGTGTGAGTGTGTGTGTGTTGCTAGGTTATGGGACTCTGCTTCCCCCTATTGTGGAACATGAAGACAGGTATTCTTCCTCTCTCCCTGTCTGCTATGGCACAGGTATGTAGCTTGCGTAACCTGAACTTGGTCGTATACAAGCTTCTGCCCATGATTCTGGATCCTGACACATGGTTGAAACAAGAGGCAGAGCCGATCATAAATGACTGGAGCAGAGGTGCCATTGCTAAGATTCCTTCTGGAGGGGACACACAAACAACATCCACCCCCTCCTCCCTTGGTCCCAATGACAAACTGAGGTATGATTTCGCCAAACTACAGTCTGGGAAACCAGCGAATTTATTGGGCTTACTTACAGAGCAGCAGGTAAGGGTTTACTTACAGGAGTGTGAGTGCTCCTCTCCTAAGACCACACTGGAAAGTCTTCATCCAAATATGAATAATGGCCTCCCCATAGCCGCATAATAGGGCCTCACTACGTAACCCAGACTGACCTCAAATTCTCAATCCTCTTGCCTCAGCCTCCCGAGTGCTGGGATGGCAGATATGTACCACTGTTCTAGTTTCTGATGTTTTGATAAAAATAACAGACCAAAAGCAACTTAGGGAAGGGTTTTATTCGGTTTACAAATCCAGATTGCAGTCCATTATTGTAGCAAAGTCAAGCAGGACCTTGAAACATCATATCTGCAGTCAAGAGCAGAGGAGTAAGCACGTAGATGCTTGCTGTTGCTCACTTTCTTGATTCTTATATACTTCAGAGTCCAGCCCATGAAAATGGAACCACCACATCTAGGTTGGGTTCTCCCACCTCAATTAACAATCAAGACAATCCCCCACAAACAGGCCAATGTGATCAATTCAATTCCTCAACTGCGACTCTCTTCTTGGGTGATTTGAGGTTATCAGAAGTTGACAATTAAAGCTAAACATCATAGTCACTGTACTTGACTTCTGCTTGGGGTGTGTGTGTGTGTGTGTGTGTGTGTGTGTGCTTGTCTCTATGAGCACCAAAAACATGCAGGTGCCCGCAGAGGCCAGAAGAGAGTGAAGAGGGTGCTGGATCCCCTTGAACTGAGGTTACAAGTGATTATGTGTGGTTGTAGGAGCCAAACCCAGGTTAACTACTCTTAACCATTGAGCCGTCTCTCCAGCCCCCTCTCCTTGGTTCTTGACACAGCAAACAAACATGTTGAGATCATCTGCCTCTGAATCAGTCCTTCTCCAAAGGCCCATACCAGAGTACCAAGACAAAATGAATTCTACTCACGCCTCTTCAAATGGACTGAAGACTGTGGGACCAGGCATAACTTTTGTTTGGTCAGTGTCAGCCCTGACAGGTTCAGACAGAGCAGTAGTCACAATGAGACATCCTTACATGGTGGAAGAATGTCTTAAAACCCAGGATTTCTTCACAGGAGTAGGGAAGAGTCTCACTAATGACAGAAATGTGCTTTTCTAAAGTGAGATGCATTTGCTTTTGGGAACCTCTGGCCAAAGCTGGCCATTGCTGACTGGAATGAAGAGACACACCATCCTTTCCCCATCCCCGGGGTCCCATTGTCTACAGAGCCCCAAGAGGTGGGAAATAGGAGAACAGTAGGTAAGCTGGTAGAGTGTGCAGGACACAGGTGACCTGCATGCCTAGATATGGCATGGGAGCCATGAGGGAACAGAGGAAAGACTGGGGAAGGAAGGTGAGTGGGAGGTAGGGGCACACGGGGTCAGCCTCCCCAGGCTGCAGGGGGATCCCATCACCCCACCATACCTGCCCCTCTGAGTCCAGGAAAAGGGCATGTCGCTAACGGTAGAGCAGCTCTGGTTCCTCTCTCTCTGCCTTTGGAGCCCTTTCTAGGGACCTCTCTAGATTTCGTTCCTACCACAAAGTGGTAGCCCCATTCTGGTCACATACAACTCTACCGTTACAGGTTATATTCAAGGTGCGATGATAAAATTACACACAGTTTATCAGATACCATTTACTGATCAATCCAATAAACACCATCTCTTCCTCCAAGTACATTCCCAGGCAAAAGCATTCAGCTTAACTTGATTTCTCCCCCAGCTGTGTAATTCTCACGGTGGTATCTTGTCTTCTCGGTCTACGTTGGGAGAGCACAAAGGGCCATAGCAAAGAGACGCCCAGGAGTCTCAGACTGGGAAGGCAGGCTGCTTCGTAAGTAGCGATCCTGTACAGGAGACTAGAACTGTATGGTCCAAGGGCAGGATAAGGGGCAGAAACAGCAGGGCCACCTAGAACTCACAACTCCCACAACAGAGTGACATTGAGAAGCTGGGGCTCTGTATTTATTTGGGACTGTGGTGGTAGAATAGCCAGGGCATGCTGAGGGTCACATCCTCTCTTCTGAGGGGGATGAGCACACACCCATGAAATGAGGGGAGTCAGCAGGGCCAGCAGTCGGGGGGTATCTTGAGCCTGAAACATCCTGTGATTCCAGGTTCAATTCAAGTTGTAGCCTTTTCTTTATCCTAATCCCCACAAACTCCTCCTGAGAGAGGGACATGGCTGGAGGTCAGACGTCACCGTTGTGTGGTTTCATGAGTCTGTCATCTAAATGACCTCTCTGTGATGGCAAACAGGACAAGGAAGATCAAGGTCTTACTGAGGAGTCCACAGACCACAGGAACAACAATGCTGAACATGGGGACCCTGGGGAGAGAGGAGAGTGAAGGTTGGTACAGTCACATCCCACACTGCAGCGCCTGGGACATTCCTCCCCATCCAACCTTACAGGCTTGGGTCCTTCCTGCACCTTTTCCCCAGTGTCTGACCCTGTGCAATTTGTTTCATTTTCTAAAATAATAGATAAGAAATATGTTTGGTGGAGAGTCAAAAGTTCAGGTCCAGGAGAGGCATCTGGGAGGAAGAGTGAGCCTAGGCAACCTGGCTTTCCATATGGAGTCCAGCGAGGTCCAGATCCAGGAAACCTGGTCTCTGTTTTCTGCATCCTGACATGTTTCTAGGGACAGTCACCCGACCTTTAGTCTCGATTCCCCCATCTAGAAATCAAGAAGAATCCAACCCTAGTGAAAATCCCATAGTGGGTTGTTTTTGCTTTGGGTTTTTTGTTTGTTTGTTTGTTTTTCTTTTTCTTTTGAGACAGGTCTCCCTGTAGCCCCAGCTGGCCTGGAACTCTCTGTGTAGACCAGGCTGGCTTCAGTCTCACAGAGATCTGCCTGCCTCCATCTTCTGCATGCTGGAATTAAAGGTGTACATCACCACACCCAAGCTCCATCAGTGTTAGTGAAATGATTCTTCAAGTTCCAGGCAAACCTCAAAAGACGTCATAAGAAAGAGACCCTCTTGGAAGAGAAGGCCCAGCCTGATCATGGGCAGAAAAGGAAGTAGAAGAGGACACAAGCCTTCTACATGACAGGACACAGAACCAAAAGGCAACAACAAATGGAAGCCATATAGGGTGCTTAATGTTATGTAGTAATTTAATGGATAAGAAGCCAGGCATGGTGGCTTAAGTCTATAATCCCAACCCTCTCATGCAGGGGATGGGGATGCTGGGGCTGGAAGAGCACAAATTTGAAGCCAGCTGGGGCTACAGAATCTGTCTCAAAAATAATAAATAAGGGACTAGAGAGATGACTCAGTGGTTAAGAGTGCTTACTGCCCTTGCAGAGAACTCAAGTTTAGTTCCCAGCACCCATGTCACATGGCTCATAATCACATATAACTCCAGCTCCAGGGGATCTCTTCTGCTGTCTGAGGGGACACACACACACATACACACACACAGCATGCATGCATACATACCCTGACACATAGACATATACAATATACATAAATAAAAATAAAATAAAATGTTAAAATGCATAAATCAAAAGAATGTGATGCCTCAAGAAATGGTTGACTTAATAAAGTATGAATTGTTTAGTGAATAGTCTCGGGCTATGCTCACATTGCATAGCTGTATAAAGACTTGTTGGTCAGAGTCCAGTTTACAGTTCTGCCCCCCTCCGCCACGTGCTAGTTATTTTTACAAATTTGGGGGCAGAGATGGGAAAGTCACCAGGAAATAGAATGTAATATCATTAAGGAATGATGCAAAATAGTAACCTGAAAAGCAATATGTTTGCCCGTGCAAACTTTAAAATGGAATGCACAAATTTGCATATCATGGTAATAGACTGGGGCAATTGCCCATGTATGCTCACATTTACCCCAGCCTCCTGTCCTGTCCCATACGATGGGGTCGGTATTCTCAAGACCAGTGGACAGTTCAGCAGCTGGTGGTGCTAGATAGGCACCTAGGATGGGGAGACCAACGACTGGTATCTCATAGTTGCAAAAGTGCCATCCTGAACTCTGGGTGGAATCTCACTACTAGAAGGGCCCTGTGTCCAGGTTCTGTTGGCTGCATCCCCTTCCAAGTCCTGCCTGTTAGTGCCCCACTCTTTGGAATTCTGTGCTATTTTCATAAACTGGGCTCCCCCGATACTAGGCATCCTTTCATAGGCTTTGCTCAAACTGTAGGACCCCTGATGTGCCTGGGAATCCATGAACCCCTGCATTGCTTAGGGCTATCCCTATTTGATGATTGAATGCAGGAGTATAAATACTCCAGGTCCTCTGCCCTTGGTTGGGACAACTGCAGGTGTAACCCAAACCTTCCTGCCAAGACTCACTGACCCCCTGGGATTCTGACCCTGTTATGACCTTTTACTTGACTTCCTTTCCCTTCCAGTCCACTTCCCTAAGTGCTTTACCAAGGATCACTTCCTAAAACACTTTTAACAGGGTTTCTTTTTTCATGGCCTGCCTCTGGGGAAGTAAGCCTGTTACAGCGGGTCCTCCTAAAATGCCTCTCTGTCAACAGGCCCAGGTCCCTGCTCTTCCATCACCTAGACGAGCAACTCACTGAATTCAATTCCTTCTTTTATGAACAGCAGGAAAAGCTGCTGCTATCATGCCTGGATGCTGACCAACAGGATAATTAATGTTAGTTAATAGAGCTAGTGGGCAACAGGGCAGGGTTAAATGTGCAGCTGTGGTCACAATGTGGGCCAAGTATGTGCTTCCTATGCCTTGACAAATAAAAATGATGAAGAAAGATGAGCACTGGCTCTCACTAGATTGTGAATTTTATTTAGTCCATGAAGGTGGTGAGTTTTTTTGTGGGGGAGCAGTTGGGGTTGTTGTTTGGGGTATATTTTTTTAAATAGGGTCTTACTATATAGCCTGGGCTGGCCTGGAACTTGTTATGTAGTCTAGGTTGGTCTCAAACTCACAGAGATCTGCCTGCCTCTGCCATCCACCCACCATGTACTTATTAATCCATCCACCCATTAAAACATTTATACATACATGCATACATACATTTATTCATCCATCCATCATCTAACTATCCATCATCTATCCATCCATCCATCCATCCATCTCAAAGGGATAATGAAACCAGGGGGCAACCCCCCTTTCCTTTTTCTCCATGCCCTGATCTGAGAGGAAATGTTTTGCTGTAGGCTGACACCATGATGTACTGCCCCTCCACAGATCCAAAAGCCACATACTGAAACCTCTAGATCTTTGAGCCAAAATTAATCTCTTATCTTATAAGTCTATTCTCCTAGGTATTTGTTACAATGAGGGAAAACTGACTAACACAAATGCATGTCAGAAATCTAAAAACACTGAGACTAGGGCTGGAGAGATGGCTGAGGGTTTATACTTTTTGCTGCTCAGTCAGTTCCCAGCACCCACATCCGGCAGCTCACAACTATCTGTAAGTCCAGCTCCAGAGGATCTAATATCCTCTTCTGACTGCCACAGGAATGTACACATATGGATGGCATACAACCACATAGACACACATATACATGTAAAAAAATTTTTTTTTTTTTTAGTAACAAGACCAGGGCTGGAGAGATGACTCAGCAGTTAAGAGCACTGTGTGTTCTTGCAGAGGACCAGGGTTCGATTCCCAGCACCCACATGGTGGCTACAACCATTCACAACTCCAGTTCTAAGGGATCCGACACCCTCTTCTGTCCTCTGTGGGCACTGCATGACAGGTTTATATGTAGGCATAACACTCATAAATGAAATGAAATGAAAATGAACCAAAAAATTTTTAAATCATAATAAAAATAAAACATTTAAATAATGAGACCAAGAGCCATGAATAAGGTGATTCCCAGCACTGCAAAAATAAAAATAAAATGAAAAATGCCGACATTGGCCCCATCTCCAGAAATTGTCATTCCATCGGTTTACAGTAGGGTACGTAGATCGGTATTGAAATCAAACAGAACAAGTAAACAAAGTAAGGAGGTAAAATCAAACAAAACAAAGTAAAGACAAACACTTGAGACAGTCATAACCTTAGATGCTTGTAAGAACTCTTGGGCTAGACGATCTCTTCCAGCTCTGGTTTTCTAGCATCCCAACAATATCAACAGGAAACTAAAGCCAGAGAGGTTCCTGACTTGCCTAAAGTCACGCAGATGGCCAGTCTGCAAACTGTGACAACCCAGAGTCCCTTGCTTTCCCCTCTATACCGTTATATTCCTGGGCTGGCAGGGACTAATAGAATTCACCAAAGACGCCATTTCCTTCCTCTTACTTCCTGTGTGTCAGGAAACATGGAGGGTGAGCTGGGGAGAACAGGGCCCTCCTCCTCACTCTGTCTCCCCTCTCCCTGGGAATTTCCACACAGACTCTGGTGACTCAAGTATGCTCCTGCTCCACCTCACCTCCATCCTCAATTCCCACATCATCTCAGCACATAGACTGGGAAACAGAAGGTGTCCAAATCAGGAGTCCAGAGCCCTGAAAACATACCTGGTAACACTTGTCACATTTGTGAAGGTGACTCTGGGGTCAGGAGAGGAGGTGACAGCAGTTGACTTACGGAGGGGTTGAGTCACAGTTTTGTACCTGGTATAAATGCTCATGTCTTTTGTGGTAGTATGGGTAGAAACTTCAACCAAGTTTTTAGTAGTAATCACGTCAGGGGCAGGAGTATGTAAAGAATCTACGAAAAAACACATGGGATGGATGGATGGATAAATGGATGAATGGATAAATGGATGAATGGATGGATGGATATATGATGGATGGATGAATGGATATATGATGCATTGATGAATGGGTGGATGGATGGAATGAAGAATGGACGGGGGATTCAGAGATTAATAGGGAAGGCAGATAAGTACATCGGTCTCTACCAAAGTGAGCCTAGAGATTCACTCCCCAAAAATGAGACTCACTTTAGGTCACGGTCTGCATATGTAATCAGATCTGCAGGTGGTTTGTGCCCACAGCAATATCTGAGGGACATGAAGAGTCGCAAAGGAGGGTCACCAATCACACCCTGGGAGGAGAATGAATTACAGGAGGGTTCCTAAGCACATGACTTCTAAGTAGAGACTTCAGAAATGAGACTAAATTATCCCAAGCCTGCTTCTCACCTTTTACTGTACTCCACTACTCAAGGAGGGAAGTCCTCTATTGGACCAAATGCCTGACAAGGACCTCAGATGGCAAACACAGAGGTTCTGGGAGAAAGACAGATTGCTAGGAATCCTGGGTCACTGCCCTATCTTCACCTGGTCTACCTCTCTCCCCTCTCCCCCCGGCGCACCCTGGTTACTCACCCTTGGTCACCACCAGGCGGACAGGATGGTACAATATGTCAGGATTCTTAAGGGGGTAGTAAATCACACAGCGATAGAGTCCCGAGTCTTCCACTCGAAGGTCGGCCATTTGGACGTGCAGCATGGCCTCTGTGGGGTCATCTGTCAGCATGTACCTCCCCACCTGGACTTGACTGGGCTTCCCAGACGACTGCTTTGTAACCACCAGTGTCAGGGGCTCCCCTCCAGCCGGTAACTTCTGCCAAGCCTTCTGGCTGTTGGAATACTTCATGATGTTGAAGGGGCAGCCCACAGTCAGGGTCTGCCCTTCTGTGCGGTCATATCTTTCCTCAGCTGGGTCAGCTGCAGCTTGAATTTCTGTGAGTAGTAAGAGTTGGGCTCTGTGGTGAACGGCTTTCCTTCAAACTGGGAAGGAGTTGTTTCCTGTTTGATTGTTTGTTTTACTACAGAACCACATGACACCTAGCCTATGGAAATGAAACTTTATAAATGGGATGGTGTGTGTGTGTGTGTGTGTGTGTGTGTGTGTGTGTGTGTGTAGGGGTGTGTGAGAGAGTGTGTGCACATGATGGCCAGAGACCAGACACGGGTATCATTCTTCAAAATACTGTCCGCCTTGTTGTTTTTGTTTTGTTTTGCTAGTTTGTATATTTTTGAGGCAAGATTTCTCAGCTTTTACTTGAAACTTGCCAATTCAGCTTTGTGACTGGTCAGTGAGTCCTGGCAAGCCTCCTGTCACTTGCCTCCCCAGTGCCCGGATTGCTAGCATGCCTGGCTTTTTTAACGTGTGTTCTTTCTAGGGATCAAACTTGGGTCCTTGTGCTTGTGTGGCAAACACTTTACTGACTGAGCCATTTCCACAGCCCCAAACGATCCTTTTGAGAAGAGAAACTGTCTCACTGGAGACAGAAGAGGGGACAATGGGATGAAGACGGAATGCCTAGGGCATGATGAGAAAGAAAGATTATGGAGAATTATGCCCAGGGTGAAGAGTGGATACAAAGAAAATGCTCCAAGCACAGGGTGAGCCTGAGGAGCTCCATCTTGTCTCACTGGAGACAGAAGAGGGGACAATAGGATGAAGACAGAATGCCTAGGGCATGATGAGAAAGAAAGGTTATGGAGAATTATGCCCAGGGTGGATACAAAGAAAATGCTCCAAGCACAGGGTGAGCCTGAGGAGCTCCATCTAAGTCAGGGGAAAGAGATCCCTTCAGGAAACAGTGGGAAGAGCTCCTCTTTCTCAGGGGAGCCATCCAAGGGTCTCTGCTGACAGGGCTGCCCACATTCTCAAAGACTTGCTCATGAGGAGATTTGACAGGTCAAAGTAAGCCCATGACCCCCGCCCCCGGAGCACACCATACAGATTGGTTTAGAAATGGGCTTGCGACTAGGATTGAGCCAATCAGAATCTTTTCTGATACTGTTGTGACTATTCAGAAAATTATGCTGGGGTTGATGATAGATGGGATGTGAAACAAATACATTTCTACCACACAGGAATCGGCTGCCCGAGGATGAGCCAAACAGAAGAAGAGGGAAAAGAGGGTGAAAGAGAGGGCATTGGGCCGGGTGGTGTAGTTGTTTTTGTTTTTTAAGACAGGGTCTCCCTGTATCTCCAGCTGAACTGGAACTTGCTATTTAAACCAGGCTGGCCTCCATCTCACAAAGATCCACCAGCTTCTGCCTCCCGAGTGAAGTGCTGGGATCAAAGGTGAGCACTACTGCACCCTGCTCCTGTTTTTCTGTCTCTTTGGTTTTGTTTTTAATTTTTATTTTATGTGTATGAGTGCATTACCTGCATATATGTAAGCGCATCCATGCTGTGCAATGCCTTCACAGGACAAAAGAGGGCATCAGATTCCCCCTGAACTGGAGTTACAGATGGTTGGTAGTCACCATGTGGGTGCTAGAAATCAAACCTGGGTCCTCTGCAAGAGCAGCCAGTGCTCTTAACTGATGAGCCATCTCTCCGGCCATGCCCCACCAACCACAACCACTTTCTGTTTTTAATAGAAATCACAGCAGTATTTCTCCACTAGAAGTCAGGTGTCCCCACACCTCTCCCCCCGGGCATTGAATAACGTCTGGGCACATTTTTGGCTGTTATAACCTGGGACAAGGGTGTCTGCTACATACATCTAATGAACAGAGGCCAGGGCTGCTTCCAAGCATCCTACAGTACACAGGAGATCCTGACAACAAATCATCATCTCACCCAAAATGTCAGTAGTGCTGAATTCAAATACCCCAGGTTGCAGGGACAATAATCTCAATCACACTCTTGGCGTTGAACCAGCATCTACCTGGAGTTTAGGGATGATTTTTCTGGTCTGGTGGAGGGAACCTTGCTGATGGGAGGGCCAGCTGAGTGAGAGTAAAAAGATCTGGGTCTGGGCTGTAGCTGGGCACACAGGCTCTGTATGTCACCGAGAACTTGGAGTGAAGACACACAGGCCTGGATTCCGTTCTCCATGGGACACCATCAAAGGGTGGACAGTAATGCTGGGTCAAACCGCGAGTCAGACTTTCACTTTCTGCCTACTGATGTTCTTACTACAACTGTTACACCCAGCCCCCACCCCACACACACTTTAGTCCCAGGGGCACTTGTGAAAAGTGCCAGACTTAATCTCTTTGGTGGAGCCCCTGCCTGACCACACAGGACAGGCCAGGTTCCAACAGGCCCTGCCTGCCCTAGCCTAGCCTTGGAAAGACCCACCTCAGGGATTCTGAGGATTTTGAAGGTAAACCAGGCTCAAGGCCAATTGGGTCTCTAAGGAAACCTTTCAAACAGGCTCCTGTGCATTTGCCAAGCACTCTGGCTGGGAATGCCCTCAATGATGGGCGTAATGGTATACACCTATAATCCCAACACTGGGGAACTGGAGGCAGGAGGATCAGAAGTTCAAGATTTCCTCTGAGGAAGGAGGTCAACCAGAGCTACATGAGGCCCTGTCTCAGAACAACAACAACAAAAATGGAGGTTGGGGTGGCGAATGTCCCCCAAAGGACAGGCCAGCAGAGGCTGAGGGAAGTGCTGAGTCAACTTTGATTATTTCATTCATCACAAATGGTTGAATATGGCTCTGTGACAGATACGTGGGCTCTACCCTTGAGTTGTCACAACGTGGAAGTTCTGACACATTAAGTTAATGTGACACATGAAGACAGGACCAGAAGATAGGCCAGCCCTGCTGAGCCAGCACTAAAAGCAGGGCTCTTCAGTCCCATTATGCAAGGAAGAGCTAGGATTACAACTTCCATGAGGATTGGCACAGGCCTCCTCTGTTCACACCCACGCCCTCTGTGGTGGCAGATTTGCTGGCCCAGGGTAGCCCTGGGAAATATCTGCTAAATGAATTCTATATTCTGGGTCCAATGGACTGTCTACATCAGACTCACCATGATGGAAGAGGAGAAAAATCATTTCAACATCTCATAAAACTATTCAGATCATGCCGCGTTTAGATTGAATGGATCTGCCTGGCATGGTGGTGCCTACCTATCTTTCTAACTCACCCTTTCTTGTGTTTTTGTTCATAGACTTCAGTGTTCTGACTTTCTGAGTTTGAGTTAAGAAACCTAGCCTGACATAACTAGTGTTTTGCTCTTTCCTGCATGACCACGTGCTTAGGAGCAGCGAAAGAAAAAGGCAGACTGGAGAGATGGCTCACTTGGTAAAGTGCTTGCTGTACAAGCATGAGGACATGGGTTTGATCCCTAAACCCTTGTAGTAAGTCTCATGTGACAGCATACACTGCAATCCCAGTGCTAGAGAGGCAGAAACAGGTGGGTCCCTGGAGCTCACTCTTAGCTTAGCCAAATAAGCAAGATCCGGGTTTAGAGAGAGAACCTTTCTTAAAAACCATGGTAGAAAGTGATTGAAGATAACACCCAAAATGAACTCTAGCCTCCACACACGTGCACCCATACACACAAGCACATACAAAAACAAAGAACAAGCAAGCAAAGGGCTCCTGAGGTCCTGGGCCAGAACCCTCACCTGCTCCCACCCTCTGCTTGCCTTACCTGAGAGCAAGAACGTCCACAGCAGCCCCAAGAACCTGGTTCTCCTCATCCTTCAACTTCAGCTCCAGCTGCTTCTGTGGACTCCTTGTCAGACACCCCTGTATGCAAAAGCTCCGGAAGGTTTCACAACAGGACATGAGGCCATTCCTGGGAGGCGCTGTGTGGCCAACCTGCCTGCAGACGTCAATCCCGGGACCAGATGTCAAACCTCAGTTAAGTCTCTGAACCTCAGTTTCCTCTTCCCTGGAAAGAATGACAGTTGTATGTTCAACCTCACAATAAGTTTTCATTTTGTTTTTATGCAGAGAAGGTCTTGCTCTGTAGCTCAGGCAGTCCTCAAACCTGTCATCCTCCTGCCTCATCCTCCCTCGTGCTGGGGTTATAGACACATGCCGGTATGCCCACTCTCAGTCTCAGAAAATTTTAGTGAGAGTGACTATTGAAACCTTATCATTGTGTTGCCCTAACATGGATTTCAGATACAAGTTCGCCAGGTGTGGTAGCACACATCTTTGATCCCAGCACTCAGGAGGCAGAGGCAGGCAGATTAATGTGCGGTCCAGGCCAGCTTGGAATGGTCTATGTGCTGGATAGCTTTGGTTGTCAACTTGACACACCTGGGTAGAGGGAGCCTCAATTGGGAATTTCCTCCATTGGACTGGCCTGTGGCCATGTCTGTGGGGCATCCTCTTGATTATTGAGTAATGTGGTAGGGCCCAGCCCACTGTGGGTGGTGCCACCCCTGGGCAGGTGGGCCTGTATTGTATAAGAAAGCAGATTGAACATGGGCCAGGGTAGCAAACCAGTAAGCAGCGTTCCTACGTGGCTTGTGCTCCAGCTCCTGCCTGCAGGTTCCTGCCCTGAGTTCCTACCTTGGGCTCCCTGATGAACCATGACCTGGGAGATGTAAAACAAATAAATCCTTTCCTCCCCAAGTTGGTAGTGGTCAGAGTATTTTGTCACAGCAATGGAGAAACAAACTAGAACAATCTACCTGGTGAGTTCCAGGCCAACTGGGGCTACAAGGAGACTCTGTTTCAAAAAAAAAACAAAAAAAAACAAAGGGGAAAAAAAAATCAATTACAAGTTCAACTTTCCTGTTCCAGAAACAAGACTTTGTCACCTCTGATGTGATTTCCGGCACTTCACTCCATCCTAGTTCCTCAATATGGTGACTCTAACTTCCTCCTGATGGCCTCCTTTGTGTGGGACAACTGGACACAACCTGCTAGTCTGGCCCTGCTGACCCCTATTCCCCACATGGATATCTCTGGGTGGACAGTGCCCCAAAGCAACTATGATTCTCCTCCCAGGGATGGAGTGGGTACTCCACAGCAAAGCCCCACTGGAGGACTGCCATTCACACTACCAGTCAATTCTGTGTGTGCTGATTATATCCTCCAACCTGTGAGTGATCCCTGAGTGGCAGCCACACAACAAATCTGTGGCACCTACTAGGGTGGGTGTGCCTTTGCGTGCTCCTTACTATGTCACCCTGGGTCCCCAGTCCCATGGGGTATCATGAGTCTAATGGCTGCCTTGATAAATATGGCAGTTAATATGGATTATCAATCTGATATGAACCATAATCACCTTGGAGACACGCCTCTGGACACATCTGTGAGGGGATTTCTATATTAGACTAGTTGAAGTAGGAAGACCCACCCTGAATTCCATGGGCTGGTATTCCAGTCTTAATAAAAAGGAGCATCCATCCCTCCCTGCTTCCTGACTGTGGACACAATGGGACCAGCCACTTCTTGCTCCTGCCATGCCCTCTCCTCTACAATGAACTGGATCCCTGGAACCACAAGCTGAAATAAATATCCCTTCCTTCCCTCCTAAAGTCGATGTTGTCAGGTATTTTATCAGAGCAATGAGAAAGTACGATGGGTGAACACAATGCCCTGGATGGTCAATTCCTGCCCCACCAAAGACACCAGAGGGATGTGCAAACAGCTCTTAGATAAATGCAAGGCTCCCATGGAAGCTGCAGGGTTTGGCTTGTGCCCATGATTGTCAACTTGGAAAGCTCTGGGCTGGGGCTTGGGGCTTGGAAGCCTGTGTGATGATGATGATGATTAGATAGTGGTGATGGTGATGGTGGTGGCTGAGGTGCAGCTGAGTGGTAAAGCACTTGCTTGGCATGCGCAAGACCTCCAGCACAGAAATAAAAAAACCTAATTAGACACCGACCGTGACTCCTCAGAAAACAAAGAGGACGCCCTGGAGAGGAAAGTGGCTGCCTAGGAGAACAGCAAACATGAAAGCCTGTCCTGGATTTTTCTGCTAACAATCATTTAAGGTCAAAAGCAACAGAAGGGTCCTGAACACCATGAGGCTAGTCAGGTGGGCATGCAAAGACAGAGGGACGGGAAAATGTCAGTCAGCTAGAAACACAAGCCGCTCTACTCAAGAAGGGAGAAACTGGTGCTGGAGAGATGGTTCAGTGGTTAAGATCAGTTCCAGCACCTACACTGGGTGGCTCACAACTGCCTATAACTCCAGCTGGGGGTGGGGTGGGGGGGTGTTCAATGTTTCCAGCCTCCACAGGTTCCTGCAACTCATCTACATGCCCCCCTACCCCCAGACATGCACACATGCACATAATTAAAAATGAAATAAATAATTTTTTAAAAGAAGGGGGAACCTGGAAGAGCTGCATTTAGTGGGTCTGGGCACTGGGTTCTTTCTTTCTCCCTCTTTTCACCTTATCAGCCGGGGTGGCCCATGCAAGGATGACTGGGGATTAGTAAGCGCACAATTCACCAGCCCCTGCTGCCCCCAGCACCGGGAACAATCAGACACACGGGGAGTCTAGTCAAGCAGGGACTTGTTTATTACAGCAGGGCAGGGTGCTTATAATTCCCCCACCCCTCATAGTTCTCCAATCAGCTTAAAGGTCAATGCATGCATGCAGGCAGGAGCCCATGAAAGCTTATGGAGGCATCCAATTGATGATCTTCAAAACAAGTCAGGCCGTGCCTCAGTAACTTCCTCTAGGCGCCATCTTGGCAAAGCGGGGCCTTTAGGTCCCCACAGAGTACCCGGCTTCAGGTGACTAAAAATCCAGAAAAGACCGTGATTTTAAGCAATGGAAGTCCTTTTTTTAATTTTTATTTTATGTGTGTGCATGTATTGCCTATCTGTAGGTAAGTGCACCCATGTCGTGCAATGCCTGTGGAGGACAGAAGAGGCAGTTGGATCCCCTGGAACTGCAGTTACAGACAGTTGTTAGCTGCCATGTGGGTGCTGGGATTCGAACCCGGGTCTTCTGCAAGAACATTCAGTGTTCTTAACTGCTGAGCCATCTCTCCAGCCCCCAAGGTCTTTTAAAAAAAAAAAAAGATCTTTAGACATTAAATCCCGAGCAATGCCAGGCTTAGCAAATATAATGCCAGCTGTGGTTTGTGTAAATAGTTTGTGAACCAACTCCTGGGAATAAGGGGGACAGTTAAATAAATTACATGCTTATATACAATATTGTAATAATTATGTAATTAATAAGTGCATGTGTATATTTGTGAATATTTTCTGTAATTTTTATTCTATTGGAAATTCTAATTTCATACACTAATTTGCATGCCAAAAAATTTAAAGGACCCTTAATTGGCTATTGTGTTCTATGATATAGGTTCTAATTTTATTATTTTTTAAAAAAAATTTATGTGTATGAGTGTATTGCCTGTATAGAAATGCACCTGTGTCATGCAGTGCCCACAGAGGTCAGAAGAGGGTGTCAGGATTCCCCTGGAACTGGAGTTACAGATGATTGTTAGCCACCATGTGAGTGCTGGGAATCAAACCCAGGCCCTCTGCAAGAGCAGCCAGTGCTCTTAATGAACCCTGGTTCTAATTTTTTTTTAAATTTATTTGTTTTAACATGTAGGTGTGTACCTAACTATGTATATATATGTACCATGGGAGTACAGTGCCCACAAGCCAGAAGAGGGAGTCAGATCCCCTGGAGCTGGAGTTACAGGAAGTTGTGAACTACCTAATATGGGTATAGGAACTGAATTCTGGTCCTCTGCAAGAGCAGCAAGCACTCTTAACTTGTAAGTCATCTCTCCAGCCCCAACATAGGCTCTAATTTAACTTTCACACTGTAGTATTTTGATGATGATGATGATGTTTTTAGAGGTACTGGGAACTGAACATAGGGGCTTCGTGAAGGCAAGCCAAACATTCTACCACTGAGCTAATTCCTCAACCCTCGTATCTGTTATAATGTGCAGCATTGCATGCCCACATTATAATTACCTGAACAAATAACCTAGCTCTTAGTTTTTTAAGAGTGGGCTCAAACTTGGAGGACAGTGGATATCTCTTGGGACCATCTGTCTCCTGGATCTGTGCAGATGGAACTGTCTCTGAAACTGTTTCTAGAACTGTGTTCCAAGTCCAGCCCCACCCATTATTTTATTCAAAATGGTTTCTCCAGCTTCAGTTGGGGAAAGTATAAGCTTGGCTCCCCCCTAATCTTAAAAGATCATCTGGCCTTTTCATTCCTAATTCTAGAATGTCTCATTCTTCCATGGTCATTTATCCTTCCCAACCTCTACTGTGTGTGATAGAGAGGGATGTGCTGCCTTTCAGCACTTTTATATGTTAATTCTCAAACATACCCACATTCATTCATTCATTCATTCATTCATTAATTATCTTTTGAGGTGGAGTGCCAAACTGGGGTTGCTTAGGAAATGGGATCAGGTTGCCAAGGTCACAAGACACAAGAGCATATAGTTTTGCTGGTGTTAAAATCACTAGTCCAGATTATGTCCATTCATAACAGTCATTCCCACACCATACACTAAGTGAAAATTCATAGACTCCATCAACTCCAGAGAACAAATTATAGTTCCACATTCTACCTGAATTCTAACTAGATGTAAACACTCAGCCCCTAGCATGTTCAGAGAGTAAGCAGATAACGACATTTTTTCAAGGGAGTATGCCTCACCGTAACCGTAGCTTTGCCTAAATTTCCCAGAGTCATATATTTATTGTTATAAAATATTCTGTGTTGGACATAGATACTCTGACACAATAATAAAGTTAGTTTTGTCTAAAGGGCC